ATCAAATTATTTTTGCCTATTTATGATTCAACAACGAAGAGGGTTTTTGCAATAGTATATATGGATTCATAGAGATTTCAATGAAAATATTCAATATAATATTCCACCCTTTCACTGGGGCTTGATCTTATCATGGCATAAAGCCATCATAATGGTTGGACTATAGCAATAATTCTCTGTACATATCACATCTGTGAGAAGACAAATCATTAAAAAAGGTAGAGGTTTACCCTTGACATTAAGTCTAGTTGAGTCCAACCCTGAGGGGTGGTACTGATCTCTATTTCTAAGCCGAAGAGCCTGTGTCGTCTGTAGACGCCTCCAAGGTCATGTGGCCAGCATGACTGCATGGAGCACTGTTACATTCCTACAGAAGCTGTACCTATTGAGCGACTCACATTTACATGTTTTCAAACTTCTAGGGGCATTGGGGGCTAACCGCGGGAGCTCACCCCACTCCCTGGATTACCCTACACCACTGGAGAAAATATACTGTTTAGCTGGTGTTGCAACACCTGACATCTGCCGAGAAGTAGCAACTAGTAAAGAAGGGACCAAAACATTGACATCTTTGGCCCATCCTCTGCACGTCAACATCTTAAATCAAGAAACAGCTTTCTAAGATCTACAGAGACACTCACAGGAACACCTCAGCAAGCAAGAGTCCAAAAGTGGCAGGCTAAAACCCAGAACCTCAATCTGTGGCTAATACCAGATGAGAAACTCCCCCAGGGCACACAGAAGGCTGGGTGACTCAGAAGGCACTGAACAGACTGAGCTCTGGCACCACGAGATGCAGAGCCAACCTTAAGAAATGGGGCCACAAAATGGAGTCCACGACATGCGAGTGTGGAGGAGAGCAAATCACAGACAAAACATATGGAGAAATAAAATACAGTACCATTCACATATATTGTATATGGATTGGGGGTGCATCGACACCAGGAACGGGCACACCCGGGCCCTCCAGGTGTTTTGGACTTCAACTCCCACAATTCCTAACAGCCTCAGGCCCCTTCCTGTTAGGAATTGTGGGAGTTGAAGTCCTCCAGGGCCAAGTTTGTCCATGCCTGATCTACACTGTAAAACTGATAGTTTGATACCACTTTAACTGTCATGACTCAATTCTATGGCATCCCGGGAGTTTCAGTTTGGTGAGGCACCAACATTCTTGGGCAGAGGATTCAAGACCTTGACAAACTGCAACTCCCAGGATTCCATTGCATTGAGTCATGGCATTGATTTTACAGTGTAGGTGGAATACTAGCAGATGAGAGTATCACTGACAAACACACTTTGCTTTTAAAGAACACCTCATTTATTTTTTCATGCAATTCAAGTACACTCACAGGCTTTGGCTTCTCTCTTGAATTACACTTCCTCAAGTGTTTCTGCAGCTGATCTTCATACACAGTGCTAAATACAGAAATGGAAAGGAAACTAGTGTTGTGATACCAGACATATTCTTTTTCTCTCTTAACGTATAACACACAAACGGCATTAAGTTTCCTTACTGCTTTGGATCCAAAGGGCAGGGGATTCTTTTTCTGCTTTTTTCTTCCTGGTTAAAAGAAAGACATTTCAAACTCAAAAACACTATGACACAGTCTTTGTTCAAATACATTGTTTAAAAACTTAAACAATTAATTCAATAACTTGCTGTGCGTTTCACCCACACCTATGGCAGGCATACTCAGAGGTCTATTGGAAATTAGGCAAGTGAGGTTTACATATTTGTGGAATGTCCAGGGTGGGAGAAAGAACTCGTCTGCTCGAGGCAGGTTGCTGTGAGTTTTCCAGGCTGTATGGCCATGTTCCAGAAGCATTCTCTCCTGACATTTCACCCACATCTATGGCAGGCATCCTCAGAGGTTGAGGGGTCTGTTGGAAACTAGGCCAGTGGGGTTTATTTATCTGTGGATTGTCAGAGTGGGTGAAAGAACTCTTGTCTGCTTGAGGCATGTGTGAATGTTGCAATTGGCCACCTTGATTAGCATTTAATGGCCTTGCTAGCTAACATCTTCTGACAAAGGATTCCCCCAGGCAGGAAGCACCCAGGCTTTGATGCTGCAAGGCCATTCAATGCTAATCAAGGTGGCCAATTGCAACATTCACACTTCCCTCGAGCAGACAAGAGTTCTCTCTCCCACCCTGGACATTCCACAAATACGTAAACCTCACTTGCCTAATTTCCAACAGACTTCTGAGTATGCCTGCCATACATGTGGGTGAAACGTCAGGAGAGAATGCTTCTGGAACATGGCCATACAGCTCGGAAAACTCACAGCAACCCAGTGATTACAGGCACTGAAAGCCTTCGACAACACAATCAATTCCATAATGCTATGGAATCCTATGAATTGAGGCTTCAGCAGTTTTGGGCAGAGGCTAGACAAGACCCTGTCAAACTACAACTCCCAGAGTCCTCTAGCATTGAGTTAAAGCGGTATCAAACCGCGTGGACTCTCCAGCTCGGGCGTACCTCGTGGGCGCCGTGCTCCCCACAGAAGCGCCTCCCTTGGGCCGGGACCATTTTGCAGAAGCGCTTTTTCCGCTCCACGAAGAAGGCGCAGCGCCCCGGCGGAGGGGAAAGCGGCAAGGCCTCGGCCGCCGCCATCTTGCTTGGCTGTCCTTCCTCCGCCTCCCGCCGCCTCCTCCAATCCGCCTCCATCCTCCTCCCTTTCTCAGTCCTGGGCGCTGAATTCAACCGAAGGCGAAGGAGGGGAAGGGGCCTCTTGCCCAGAAACGGCCAAAGACCCCCCTCCTTCCCCGCTTTCCCCCGTTCAGGCGCATCCTTTCCCTCTCCTTTCTAAAACAACGCTTTGTGGTCCTCGCCCTTGAGTAGCCCTTATCGCAGCTATTCCCAAAGTTTGCTCCTGTCAGTGTTATGGACTTCAACTCCCAGAAGGCCTTGCTTATTCGGCCAATGGCCAGGAACTCTGGGAGTTGAAGTCTCAAACATAGGCAAGACCTAAGCAGGCCTCTTCAACCTCCCAAGTGTTTTGGACTTAAGTTCCCAGAATGCCTAGGACTTCTGGGAGTTGGAGGCCCAAACTGTTGAGTTGCCAGAGTTTGAGGATGCCTGGCCTGAAGTTTGGGAAAGGCCACACAAACTAAAATTGTTCCCTTGGGTGGCTGAGAGAGTGCCACCCTTTGCTTTTTTTGTTTGTTTGTTTCATGCCCATTCTTAAAACTATTGTGTGTGGAATCACTTTAAGGCTATGTGTATATGTAACAGAAATGAATTTTGTGTCCAAACTCCAAGATATCCCATGAGGTTGTTGTACAAATAGTCCTTCTAGCACAGCATTTCTCAACCTTTCTAATGCCGCAACCCGTTAATACAGTTCTTCATGTAGTGAACCCCAATCATAAAATTAATTTAATTGCTACTTCACGGCTGTAATTTTGCTACTGTTATGAATTGTAATGTAAATATCTGATATGCAGGATGTACTGTATATACTCGAGTATATAGTTTTTCAGTCCTTTTTTTAGGCTGAAAAAGTCTCCCCCGGCTTATACTCGAGTCAATGTTATTTATTATTTTACTTTGTTGTTATTGTTGGTGTTGTTGTTATTATTATTACATTTATTACTTCATTATTGTTATTATTACATTTATTATTTTACTGTATTATTATTACATTCCATTATTTTACTCTATTATTATTATTATTATTATTATTATTGTGCTCTATTTATTATTATTGGAGGACATGTAAGCACATTTACATTGAAGATGGTAAATAATCATTTAATCAGAGTTGGACAGTCTTATCTTAAATTACCATTTTTTGTAAATATTCAAAAATATATAACCAACTGATTTCTCAAATAATGTAATTTAATTGGCATCTATTTTTATTTTGCAATTTACCAGTAGCTGCTGCATTTCCCACCCTCGGCTTATACTCGAGTCAAACCGTTTTCTGTTTTTTTGTGGTAAAATTAGGTGCCTTGGCTTATATTCGGGTCAGCTTATACTCGAGTATATACACAGTACTTTAATTACCTGGACCACATTTGGCACAAATATCCGAGATATATATATATATATCTCGGATATTTGTGCCAAATGTGGTCCAAAGTAAAATAATAAATATATATATTTTGTCGTGTCAGGAGCAAGTCGCTTCTGGTGTGAGAGAATTGGCCGTCTGCAAGGACGTTGCCCAGGGGACGCCCAGATGATTTGATGGTTTTATCATCCTTGTGGGAGGCTTCTCTTGTCCCCGCATGAGGAGCTGGAGCTGATAGAGGGAGCTCATCCGCCTCTCCACGGATTCGAACCTGCGACCTGTCGGTCTTCAGTCCTGCCGGCACAGGGGTTTAACCCACTGCGCCACCAGGGGGCTCCTAATATCCGATATGCCCACATTTGAATACTGGTTGGGTTGGGGGGTTGATTTTGCTATTTAGGAGTTATAGTCGCTGGGACATATAGTTCACCTACAATCAAAGAGCATTAGGAACTCAAACAATGATGAATTTGAACCAATCTTGGCACACAGAACTCCCATGACCAACAGAAAATACTGGAAGAGATGGTGGGCATTGCCCTTGAGTTTGGGAGTTGTAGTTCACCTTCATCCAGAGAGTACTGTGGACTCAAACAATGAAGGATCTCTAGACCAAACTTGTCATTTGGGAGTTGCAGTTGAAGTGTTCAAGCTCTTGGCCTTCCCAGATAACCTTCAGTTTCCTATTGGCTTCACACTTGTGTCTTGGCAGGGTGAAACTTCAGGTGGTAATCTTTTAAATTAAAGGGAAGGAAGAATGACAACTCCAGAAACTTTGACGTGCTTGAAGCTTATTCAAACAATACTCCGCTCTCCCTTTAAAACACCCACAGCCCTTCCTCCTCTTGAAGTGTCTTCTTAGCAGATAGCTTCGCCTTCCCTCTCCGCCATCTCGCTTCCCGTCCGTTGTCCCTGGTAGGCGGGGCCTCCCTTCCTCCGCCAATCACGGCGGCCTCCTGCCGAAGCCCCGTCCTCTTTTGCCCCCCGCGGGACGCCGGCGCCAAACTCGAAGCGCAAGATGGCGGCGGAGAGCCTCTTCAGCCACTTGGTGCCGGTGCAAGTGAAGGGACAGGGCTGCGACGAGAGGTGAGGGGCAGGGCGGCTTTCCTCCCTGAGGGGAAAACGAAAAAGCGCGGGTCCATTTCGCAGGAGCCTCGCAGCCAAGGAGAGGCTGTTTCCTGGCGGGGAAGCGTCTCACTCCGAGCCGCTCGCCTTCCTCCGCCGGGGCGGTTGGCCTTTCCTGCCGGGATGGGAAGGACTCGGGGCTCCGGCCGCCTGGAGCTTCAACATGTCTGAATCGCTCAAAAAGAACTGTTTATTTTTTGAGGTATCTGCCTCAAGAGTCCTTCAAGCCGCCTTCAAGTCAACTTTCGATTTATGGCGACACCAAGAATCAAACCTCTATGAACAGTCCTGTTCTGGATTTCCCTGGCTGTGGGTGCATCTGCGCTGTACAATGAATGCAGTTTGACCCCATTTTAACTACCATGTCTCTGTGCTGTGGGAGTTGTAGTTTGGTAAGGCATCAGCACTTTTGGTAGAGAAAGACTACCACTCCCATGGTTCCATAGCAGAGAGAGAGGGCAGTAAAACTCAGTGTCAAACTGCATTTTTTCTATATTAGTTGTATTATATTTTATATGTATTATAATATTTATATATAATATAACATTTGTATATTATATACAATATATATAATTATATATACACACACACACTAGCCGTCCCCTGCCATGCGTTGCTGTGGCCCAGTCTGTGTATATGTGTTTTGTGGGGGTATATATTTGTGTATATGTGTGTGTGCGTATATATATGTGGTTTTGCGCATGCGTTGTAATGTAAATTATTTTGGGCTTTTTAAGTCTCTTCTGTTGTGTTTTTCAGTGTTTTATGAATGATGGTCACTTGTTGGCCTGATAGGTGTGTTGTGTCCAAACCACCATCTCATAGACCTCCTTTTTTGTATCTCAAGGATTGTATTTGGGTACTAAATTTATAGTACACTAGCGGTCCCCTGCCACACGTTGCTGTGGCCCAGTCTGGTGATCTGGAAAATAAAGTAATGAGAAAGTATTGGTTTCTAATATGTAATGTCTTGATGCTTGTGGGTAAACAGTATTTCTTGCTGTTTCTTTGTCAGTTGATGTGGAGAGTCTGGTTGCCTACTCTGGAACATGCAACATATAATTGTCTCTTTAGGGTCCCTTTCAAATCTATAATACTTTATATTGTGTGTGTGAATATATCTATCTATCTATATCTATGGCTGGATGGCTCTCTGTCAGAAGGGCTTTGATTACTTTTTTTTTTGCCCTGGTGAAGGGAGTTGGACTGGATGGCCTTAAGTATTTTCTGTTGGTCATGGGGGTTCTGTGTGGGAAGTTTGCCCCGATTCTATCATTTGTGAGGTTCATTCAGAATGGTCTTTGATTGTAGGTGAACTATAAATCCCAGTGACTACAACTCCCAAATGCCATGGTCTATTTCCCCCAAACTCCATCTGTGTTCATATTTGGGCATATGGAATATCTGTGCCAAGTTTGGTCCAGATCCATCATTTTTGAGTCCACAGTGCTCGCTGGATGTAGGTGAACTACAACTCCCAAACCAAGGTCAATGCCCACCAAACCCTTTTAGTTTTCTGTTGGTCATGGGAGTTCTGTGTGCCAAGTTTGGTTCAATTCCATCGTTGGTGGAGTTCAGAATGCTCTTTGATTATAGGTGAACTATAAATCCCAGCAACTACAACTCCCAAATGACAAAATCATAATTTTTTGAGTGATGGCCACTCCTTGTGTTGTGAGACATTTTGTTGCCAAGTTTGGTGTGATTTTGTTCATTGGTTCTTTCGTTTTTAAGGTACTCATTATGCACAGAGCATTATAAATAATATATAATACCATGATAACTTTATATTATATATTACATATAATATTATTAGTAATATTGCAGTATAATGTGTTATTTTTATGTAGATTTATTTATTTATGACATTTATATGCCACCCTTCTCACCCCGAAGGGGACACAGAGCGGCTTACAAGATATATATACATACAATATATTATATTACTAGTATAGTACAATATTGGTATTATATATTATTGTATTGTACTAAACCATTATATTGTAATATTATTAGTAATATTACATGTAATATAAAATATATATCACCCTGTCTCGCGGATTTGAACTGCTGACCTTCAGTTCAGCAGTTCAGTCGGCATAAGGGTTTAACTTGTTGCGCCACTGCGGTTCCTGCAGCTACTTAAATCACAGAATACTGTGAATCCTTGGTATCTGCTGCAGTTTGGTTTGGTAACGAAGTAGATATCTAGATGTGTGGATGGTCGAGTCCCATTAGATACAATGGTGTAGTAAAATGATGTTCTTTATATAAAAATCCAATATTTTCAAGGCATGGATAGTAAAATTCACGGATATAGACTCTGTGGACACGAAAAGCCAACTGTACTACCATGGGAAAAAAATGGCAAAACTTAATATTTTCAAGATTACCTACTCTATATTAAGGGTCCTCAAACTATGGCCCGGGGGCCAGATACAGCCCTCCAAGGTCATTTACCTGGCCTTCGCTCAGGGCCAACCTAAGTATGAAACAACTTGAAAGCACACAACAACAACAACAACAACAATCCTATCTCATCAGCCAAAAGCAGGTCCACACTTCCCATTGAAATACTAATAAGTTTATATTTGTTAAAATGGTTCTTCATTTTAATTATTGTATTGTTTTAAGTGTTTTTTGAACTACAAATATGATATATGCAGTGTGCATAGGAATTCATTCATGTTTTTTTAAAATTAAATCTGGCCCTCCAACAGTTTGAGGGACCGTGACCTGGCCCTCTGTTTAAAAAGTTTGAGGACCCCTGCTCTATATCCCAGAACAGATTTACCCTCTTACTTGGGTCTTTAAAGGGTGGCAATTGAGTATTTCTCCTTTTAATCCAATGAATTGATAGGAATCACTGTTTAAATTGTATCTCATAATTAAGGCTGAAGGATCGTAAATAGGCCCTCAGCTTGAAAAGTTTGGACACCCCTGCTTTAGGGTCACCATAAGTCATAAGTAATATGAAGGCATATCACAATAATAAAATATTTCAATTTGTAAAATTGAAAAATAGCTGGCACTGATGATTAATAGTACATTTCTGTTTTAGGCGGATAAATGTTCGTGTCAGTATTGAACTGCAATCTACAACAAATCCCATTCAAAGGAAGGTTAGTATCTGCTTACTATGTCTTGACTTATTTTGAGAAAAAATGATTTTTAGTTGTTTATGTGTGTGATCCTGCTGATAATATTTACCACGTTCATAGGGCAACTAGCAGCAAACATGTACCTTAATGAAATTAGAGGAAGCAGTAGAAGTAGGGATTACTGGCTTCCCTCTAAATGCACATTGTGATAGTGTTGCTTGTCCATGGACAATGCTTTAAGGTTGAGGAGCTTTTTTTTTTTTTAAAGAGAGGGATGTATTCCTTGTGGAGAAGAGATGTAACGGGGGACTGCATACTATTGTATTTTTTCCTTTTTTATACCCATTTTTCTCAGCATGGAATGCAAAGCACTTTAAAATAATTAAAAATAAAAAAATACTAACCAAACAGCTATCAATATTTTAAACAAAAATTAAAAAGATAAAATATTGGCCTACCATTTTCAAACAGCTTTCTGCCACACGATAAAAGAATCAGAGGCATTTTTAGGCCTCCCAGTGGAAAGAGAGTTATTTTTTTTGTTCTGACCTTGAATTTAGCTGTGTTCTGCTTATTACCTGACCCAGAGGGGTAGTGGAGATAATACTAAAAGGCAGGTACAAACTTCTATATCCCCTCTATCATCCTGCTTGATCCAAGAAACAGCGGCCCAGTGGCAAAAACATGACCTGGAGACCAAGCAGAATCCAGGAGGAGAAGTTAGGGCTAGATTGAGGAATATTTCCATTGCTCTGAAGCCTTTTTTAACATACAGTTCTGTATGGTTTCATGTATGGCTATACTGTTACTGAATGCACATCACCAGAGAAATGTATTACTCCAGACTGCTTTATAATTATTTTAAACACTTTGCTTTTAGGATTTAGTTGTTCGGCTAACTGAAGATTCTGATCCCTTTTTTCTATATAATCTTGTTATTTCCGAAGAAGATTTTCAAAGGTAAGTTTTCAAGTTAATGTTCTGATTAGGAATATTTAGTTAAATCACATTTTTAAAAGTTTTCATTGAATGATTATTAAATATTTGGTCATGGTTTATATCTATACATATAATAAAAGTCAAAGTTTGTATGCGGAGGACAAAAGTGTGGCGGGAGGAGTATGTGCCAGCATTCTGATTGGCTGCCGCTGTGGTGCTATTTGCATATGGTCTCTGATTGGCCAGCTTCAATAGGAGCCCCTGGTGGAGAAAAGAGTTCATGACAGAAACGGGGACATGAGAAGGAAATTTGCATATGGTCTCTGATTGGCCAACCTCAATTCCAAGATTCTGAGATGACAAAGAGAGGAAAGGAAAAGGCCAGGGGGGGCGGAGTCAGACAATTACCAATACAGACCAACTTGGCACACAGAGCCCCCATGACCCACTCGACATCCTACTGCAGTTTGGAGGAGGATGAACCATGGATGATGGGACTTGCAGTACCATCACTCACATTCTGAGACCACTGTTAACCTCATCCAATGACTGATCAGGACCAAACTTGGCACATAGACCTCTCATGACCCACTTTACGTCCTGGTGTGGTTTGGCCGGGGATGGACCATGGATTATGGGACTTGCAGTACCTTTGCTCAATTCTTGAGACCACTGCAACCCTCATCCAATTACCGATAAAGACCAAACTTGGCACACTGAGTCTCCATGATGCACTCTACATCCTGGTACGGTTTGGAGGATGATGCACCATGGACGATGGGACTTGCAGTTCCTTTACTCACTTAGTGAAACTACTGAGACCCTCATCCAAGGACTGATGAAGACCAAACTTGGCACACAGAAACCCCATGGCCAACTCAACATTCTGGTGAGGTTTGGGGGAGAACAGACTATGGATGATGGGATTTCAAGTACCTCCACTCACTTCCCAAGACTGCTGCAACCCTCATCGAATAACCAATCAAGACCAAACTTGGCACACAGAGCCCCCATGAGAGACTCTACATCCTGGTGCTGTTTGGAGGAGGACAGACAATGGATGATGGGACTTGCAGTACCTTCACTCACTTCCTGAAACCACAGTGACATTCATCCAAATACCAATAAAGACCAAACTTGGCACAGAGAGCCCCCATGGCCAACTCAACATTCTGGTGATGTAGAGGGAGACTATGGATGATGGGACTTGCAGTACCTTAACTCACTTTCTGAGACTGCTGTGACCCTCATCCAATGACTGATCAAGACCAAACTTAGCACACAGAGCCCCCATGACCCTCTCTCCATCCTGGTGCAGTTTGGAGGACGATGGACCACAGATGATGGGACTCACAGTACCTTCACTAACTTCCTGAGACCACTGCGAGCCATATAAATAACTGATAAAGACCAACCTTGATATACACAATTCCTTTCTCTAATAACCCGGGCAGCGCCGGGTCCCCAAGCTAGTATCTTATAAAGATTAGAGAAAAGTTCATAGAACAGCTTAAAGCATTCTCTCTGTAGAATAAAGTTTATGAGAGGTACAATTTCAATACTTTCTGTGATAATGTATCCAGTATTTTGGCATTTTTACTTGGAGATCACATTAGCCTCCAATTTAAATCGTTGTATTTCAAGTCTATTAAATTGGTAGTTTACTTGGTAGTTCTGCCATCAATAGCCTAAAAATTATTTCTGCAAGTTTCTAAACTTTTTAGTTTGCAGTGTTTGAATTATGGGGGTTTCCTCTGTTTGCAAGTGTGCATCGTTCTTTACCTGTAATAAGTGCTTACATAATGAATGAAAGAAAAAACAAGTTTATTAAAAGTGTTTTGTTATATATTGCTTGTACAGTGGGCCTTCCATATCAGTGGGGCATTGGTTCCTCGACCTTCCTGCAGATACCAACAAATATACTTCAATTGTGGTTTGGATAAACCAAAACTGAAGTAGTTCTTAGAAAGTCTTAATGGCAAGTTAAGACTTTGCCTTGATAAAGAGAGATGTTTTAACATACTTTGTAACAATATATTAGTACGTCTATATTCTGATTGTTCTGGATTTGAGGAGTTTTTGTCCTTGGTTCAGTCACCCTTCACAAAAATAGACATGCCTATTAATAATTTGCTTCCTTTCTATGTAGCTTAAAACTCCAGCAGAGTCTTCTGGTAGACTTTTCTGCTTTTCCTCAGAGATTTATAGATCTTCTCCAGCACTGTATCCAAGAACAAAATAAAGACATTCCAAGGTTAGTAATATGTAAAAAGTACTCTGTATTATCTACAAAACAGTTAAAGGATACAAATAACAGCATCCAAGAAACCAATATACACATTTTATCGAAAGCACTGCTTCATAAACTTGGGGCCCAGTCCCAAATGGGGCCCTCTTAGCTCAAAGTTGAGATCCTGAAAAAGTTGGCAATAGTAAAAGTTTTTTGAACATCACCTAGTGAGTGTTTTGGACATTACACAAATCTGTTGTGCACTTTTTACAGTGGATTCTGCAAAAGATGCTTCCGCTGTTCTTCATAAAAAGGAAAATCACCCTGTTTAGCAACCTTTGCAAATGCTGGCTTGTTATCAGTAAATGTTTGTTTTGTATACCTATTTTATATAACTATAGCTTGGGGTTAGCTAAAAATTTCCAGGGCCAAAACGAGGCCTGATCTTTTTAATCTGATGTTATTGCATGAGACTCTCAGCCAATATGATCAAGAGGCAGAGATGAAGGCAGATGTAATCCAACAATATATTGAAAGCTGCACATTTCCAACCCCTATATACTTACATCACATTTAGTAATAAAAAAAAATGAATTGCTGTTTTGTCATCCATTATTTTGGTGTTCATTAGACTTTAGCAGTGCGAGTTAACTTTATGCCCTTTAAGTCAGGGGCGGACAAACATGCAGGACATATATGCAATTTTTCAGTCCTGCATCCTTCTCAATATGACTTGAAATGACATGTCATAACTAGTTTCATTTTTAGCCAGTTGGGGATGGTGGTGGTGATTTATATTTATTTAGAGCTTTGGGACTTTTGTAAGTGCAAAACTGCAATGTTCGGCAAATGTTGAGTTGTTTGGGGAATCACTACATGGGACTATATGGGTCGATGTGTCTCGCAGACTGCACTTTCCCCATTTTTGCTTTAAGTGGGCGACGTGCATTTTCTGTTGTGAGATTCTAGTACTTTGTCTTGAATGGAGCAGAGCATCCTTGAATTATTTGCATCATCCTTTCTTACCCTTAATTGGGTTATGCAAATCAGATCAATGCTCATTGTCCTGCACAAAAAGAGCAGTTCTCTGAGGAACAGGGTATTAATGGATCTCCAGTTAAGCTGCTTGTTTTACCACTTTCTCTTTTCATGTCATCTATGATAAAGTGCATCCATATTTTGACAGTGCACTTTAATGGGATGGGAACATGATTTTTGCTTTTATATACTGGTCTGTGTGCTTCACAGTTTAGGGATCCAGCTAACAAATATTGTCTTGTGGTCTTATTCCTTATTTTTAGGTTTTTGCTACAGCTGATTGCTTCAGGATCAAGTTTAGATCATGGTCCATCTTTTTTAAATGTGATTGAGACAAATCCATTTAAACATCTTACCCACTTGTCCCTAAAATTTTTACCAGGAAATGATACAGAAGTCAAGAAGTTCTTGGCAACTTGTCTGAAATATATTAAGGTAATACGAGTATTTTAGCTGAACATTATGTTGCTACTTTTTCAGTTTTCAGTTCAATTCTCTGGCCATAATAAATATTGTTGCATTATTTAGTAAGATGGGGAAGTAAAATATAAAGTCATGGGGCATCTTGTTCCAGGGCTTGCTGTCAGTTGATATATTGCATTGTACCTAAATATAATCTCATCCTACATTTCATTATAATTTTGGAACTGTATAAGCCAAGTACAATTTTCACAATGCTGAAAAAGACACTAAGAGTTAACTAGCTTAACTTGTCAAGCTTGTAATAATATATCTTTGTAATTGTTGTGCTGAAAATTGTACGCTTAACTGTGTTTACTCAGAATTTCTTCTGAGTCTAGTACAATAAGTGCATTTAGGGTCAAAGTTTTATTATTTTCAAAAAATGGAAATACCTCAAGTGACTTACAAATTCAGTTGTTTATAGGAAGAAAAATTGCAGCTGGAACAAAAACTTATCAAAACAGAAGAGGACCTGAAGAGACAGTTGAGCTATACACAACAGGTAACAACAAAATAAGTGTAAGCCAGTTTATAGAAAATTAATGTGAAATATCTTTTTTTCTGCTTTAATTGACCCATTCTTTACATTGTATGCCCAAACATAGGGCCATGGAACGTCTTGCACTGACCTTCTGTTTACAACAGAAGGTCAGTGGAAAATATTTTGTGGCCCTCATTGCAGCATGAACAAAAGAATCTTAATCAAGAGAAAAAGGTTTGTAGACTGAGGTCTATGTCATCAGATATGTACACTGAGTTTATGAAAGGTAATGGTAGAAACTTCTTAATCCCAGTTAGTTTCAAAGGTATTAAGTGATTTCTTTGTTGAGACAAAGTAATGGCTATGTCTTCAAATACTTTAGATAGACAAAAAACTACTTCATCAGATACAGTTTATTATTGATTTCAAGTGCAAAAAGACCTGTTTCTTTTAAATGAAATGTTTGTGTGTATCTGAATAGACATAAGAAAAGGCGAAATAATTATTTTTCTGTGAGGTATGTTGAGAAAATGTCTACAAAACAATTCTTGCACTGGGATACGTGTGCATTACTAGAAACAAAAACTCTTCCCAGACTCTTTCATGAAGCATTGGCATACTATTGGCTAAGAATTGTTTAATTAGGTGTAAGTTAACCATCTAAAGTTTCTCTCTCTCTCATACTTAGAGTTTATCAGAAAAGAGCAGGGAGTTGGACAAGTTAAGAAATGAATGGACATCCAGAACAGCGTCACTAACCAACAAACATAATCAGGAGCTGGCATATGAAAAGGAAAAAGCTCTGCAGGTGTGTAAGGAAACAACATGAACCAATAACACCATCATACATTGACCTGTTGTTAAAGTGCCGGTTTTTCTTTGCAGACGCAAGTACAATATCAACAACAGAATGAGCAACAGAAAAGGGATTTGGAAAGCTTGCATCAGAAAACTGTCCTGCAGCTGCAGACCAGGTTGAACGAGGTGGAAAGTGCCAATAAAGAGCTGATGGAAAAGAGATACAAAGGAGATTCCACAGTCAGAGAACTTAAAGCAAAACTGTCTGGCATAGAAGATGTATGAAACGTTCACTTACTATGATCTATATCTGGAAAACATATGTGATTTTTCAAGTATCTATTCACCCATAAAAAGAGTTATAGAAAATGTAACACATACAGTATTGCAGTAATTTAGATTTGTAGTTTATATACATTTTATTGCTAAGGTTGCTTTTATTCATTTTAATCTATTTAACTGTTAATTTTGTTTGTTTGTTTTGCTATTTTTGCTTAATTTGCTTATTTTGATACTGCACATGGCATTGAATGCTTGCCATTTTGGTTTTGGAAGGTGCCCTGAGTCCCTTTGAGAGAGGGCAGGTTAAAAATAAATTAATATTATATATTATATTATTATATATTCTGCATTGTGTGATACATTTTATCAAACCACGCATATATGCTACAAATGTTTAATTACAGTGCTTTCAAAATATTTTTTCAATCTACTAGGAATGCCAAAGAGCAAAGCAAGAAGTTTTGTCACTACGTCGAGAAAATGCTGCCCTAGATGCTGAATGTCATGAAAAGGAGAAACAAGTGAATCAACTCCAGATGCGAGTCGCTGTTTTGGAACAGGAAATCAAAGATAAGGACCAGCTAGTTATGAAGACCAGAGAAGTATTGGATGTAACCCAAGAACAAAAGGTTTTTAATCTTTCTGTATAGCAGTAATTTTAATTCACCAGTTGTGACTTTAAGAACATTATCTATGGATGAGAAAATTACTACAGAAATGCTGTAGCTGTTTATATGCTTCATATAGTTTAATTATTATATGAGGAGTAGAAGGCTTGTGTTGTATGTAGTCTGTATTTTGAATTATTATGTTTTCCTAAAGTTATGTAGCGTTCCATATTGCAATAGGTGTTATTCTTTGAGAAGGCCTAGAATCCAGTTGGTCCTGCTGAGCTAGTGCTAAGAGGCAAAACCCCCTTTCCATTGAGACCAAGACAACTGAGGACATTTTATTGGAACTTCAGTTTCCAATGATAAGTAAAACCAGTTCCAAGTAGTGCCCTCCCTTTGCCTTGTAGTAATGTTGCTTAAGATAGAAAAAATAGTGAGTAACAGCATGTTCTTGGAGGCCATATTTTTCCCTCCCAAGTTTTCTTTTCCGATACCTTACTCCTCCATCTTAACTTTTCCTCCGCATATTAAGACACTGTTTCTCCCAGTCTCAGATATTTCCGTTTACACTGCTCCACTCAGCTCTTGGGTGGATGCTGTCTTGTTTGCTGATTTAGATCAGCTCTAGGGAGGCTTCAATCCTTACCTACTCACTTCAGTGGTGGCAGGTTAGCCCAGATGGATCATTGCAACTAATTATGTGATTATGACCAAGCCCTCTGGACTCTTATAAGCCACCTTTCTCCCTTCTCTTTCACTGAAGGGAACCTAAGGACTTATAAAACGGACAAGCATGTATTTACTAAGAGACTAGCCATCCCCTACCATGCATTGTTGTGGCCCAGTCTGTATATCTGTGTTTTGTGTGTGTCTATATGTGTGTGTGTATGTGTGTTTGTGTGTGTGTGTGTATATGGTTTTGTGCATGTGTTGTCATGTATTTTTTATTTTTTGGTTTTTTAAGTCCCTTCTGTGTTTTTATGAGTGATGGTCACATGTTGGCCTGACAGGTGTATTGTGTCCAAATTTGGTGTCAATTCATCCAGTGGTTTTTAGGTTATGTTAATCCCACAGACTAATATTACATTTTTATTTATATAGATAGATGTTTATGGTGCATGGCTGAGAAAGTCACCTGAAAAGAATAAGCTCAGGCAGCAGTTAAACTAAATGTGTTAAACTCAAGGCCCACAGGCCAAATCCGGCTGCCATATCATTTTCTAGGGCTACACCTCCTGTCTTCCTCATCATTAGACATCATTTCTAGAGCTGATGGGAGTTGTGATACAGTAAGATCTAGAAAGCTGTAGTTTGTTCTATATAGTTGGGGGAGTGAGGTTTGAATTTAGAAAAAAGGCTTGTGGATATGATGTCTGACTTTAAAATGTCCTTTAACCTTCCCCCTTTCCCCAGCCTCAGTGCCACAAGTACTGTTGGGTTGCAGTTCCCATTATCCCCAGTCCACATGGCAGATAATAAATTTTAATCTACTTCCCTATCCTTTTAACAGCCCCTAACCATTTAGTTTTAGCTAACTCCATTTAACTGTTCAATTGCCAGGTACATCTGTCCCTCTTCTTACATGGTGAGGGATATGCTAACATTGACCGACCGAGCTTTGCTGCTTATCACAGTACTGTACTGAATTGTGGCAATTTTAAGCAAGTTTAGGTATACAGTAATATATTATACAGTCACTACAAAAGATTGGTTGATTATAGACTTTACCATACATTATAAACATAATTAAAGATGACTAACTTTTTGAGATGTTAGTGACTTAGATTAGACTAGAGCTTTAAGAACTTGCATTCTTAGAACATTTTAAATAATGTACTATATAATGATCATTTAAATAATGATTTGTATAAGCTACGTATCTCAAATATATTTTTTTAGATTCCCTAATATGAAATGTACATTCTTTTAATAGGCAAGCCTGGAAGAAAACATCGAAAAGAAACAAATCGAAATAGGAAAATTAGAAGGAACCCTGAAGTCTTTATCTTCTGAACTCCTTAAGGTTTGTTCAAACATAACAATTGAATTTTGTGATGACAATGATGTGATTTCATATCGTCTTGTTTTAAAATTCTGTAATGTTGTTTACTAGGCAAATGAAATAATAAAGAAATTGCAAGGAGATGTCAAAACTTTAATGAGCAAGTTAAAACTGAAAAATACAGTAACAATTCAGCAAGAAAAACTTTTGGCTGAAAAAGAAGAAAAACTGCAGAAGGAGCACAAGGAGCTACAAAAGACAGAAAGTTCTCTTCGAGAAAAAGATCAAGAGGTAAATTAAAAACAGGACTTCTGTCCTGTAAATGTTTAAAGGGTTTTTAAATTTTCACTTTACTCTAGATCTGTACCTTAAACATTCATTTGAATCTTGCTGACCCATGATCCAAAATGCACTGATTCTTATTTTTCACCTTGGTGAAGACACCAAGGATGGAATGAGAGAAGGGGAGGAAAAAAATGTTATTTTACTCCTTCCAAAAGCAGAAGCCAATGAAAATTGAGCTGCCCAAATTCCCACTATGTGAATGATCAAAAACACACATAGACATGTTTGGTAAAACAGCAACAACAGTATCTTTAGCAGATCAGAAGCTTCTTGAGCATAGTAAAGTGAATGAGCTTCAGCAATTACAGGAGCAGAATCAAGCTTTAAAAGTTACAAAATACTTTACTGAAAGAACTACATTTCTATATAGGAAATTTATCTATTTATCTATCATAAAATCATAGAGTTGGAAGTGATTTCATGGACCATTCAGTCCAACCCCTGCCAAGAAGCAGGAAAAATGCATTTAAAGCATCCCTGACAGATGGCCATCCAGCCTCTGATTAAAAGCCTCCAAATAAGGAGCCTCCACCACACTCCAGGGCAGAAAGTTCCACTGCTGAACAGCTCTCACAGTCAGGAAGTTCTTCCTAATGATCAGGTGGAATCTTCTTTCTTTCCTGTAGTTTGAAGCCATTGTTTTGCTTCCTAGTCTCCTCCCTATGACTTTCTCTCACATATTTATACATGGCCATCCTGTCTCCTCCTAGTCTCCTCCCTATGACTTTCTCTCACATATTTATACATGGCCATCCTGTCTCCTCTCAGCCTTCTCTTCTGCAAGCTAAAGATGCCCAGTGCTTTAAGCTGCTCCTCATAGGGCTTGTCGCCAGACCCTTGATCATTTTAGTTGCCCTCTTCTGGACACATTCCAGCTTGTCACTATCTCCCTTCAGTTGGGATGCCCAGAATTGGACACAGTATTCCAGATGTGGTCTAACCAAGGCAGAATAGAGAGGTAACATGACTTCCCTGGATCTAGTCATTAGACTCCTGTTTATGCAGGCCAAGATCCCATTGGTTTTTTAAGCTGCCGCATGATATTGTTGGCTTATGTTTAACTTGTCCACGAGGACTCCCAAGATCTGGAGACATCTTGTTTCTGTCCATGCTTACAGGAGAAGAACACAATGGAGGACTCGGGTTGACCATGTGACTAGAAATTGAATGAAGAGGCATGTCCTGAGAAGTATAAGTCTAAAAAGCAGAATAGTAGGAGAGAAAGAGGGAGGGAGGCTGATGAAGAAGGCAATCGGGGAAGAGCTTTTCCTTCCAGCTGTTTTCTATTTTCTTGATGACGACTATAAACTTGGCCAAAATGTGGTTGACTTCCAACAGTACACAACTTCCTGATCTTGTCATGCCATCTCCTTCCTAGCTGCCTGCACAAGTGAGCAAACACATACATGCACCCTCCCTCCTCATGATACCTTCAAGTTATCTCTGCTCACACAAGTGAGTGAATACACAAGTAATCTCCTTGCTGTCTTTCCTCTCATTGTATCATCTTCCTGCATGGGTGTGTGATCAATTAGATGTGCGTGCACACCTTTCCCTCCTTGTGATACTCTTATTCCATCCTCTTCTCTCCCACCAAAGGAAGTCTGCTAGATTTGGAACACAAGTGCAGTCCAGCCACCCTGCTTAGCAAAGTGGTAAAAATGGCACAAGACAGTAGTGGAGGCAGGGCAGATAATCTGCCACTAATCAAATCCATGAAGATGAAATTCACAAATGTGGAAGGAAGTCTATATATCATTTTGTTTCAAAAGCAGTATTTTGATATTATTGGAAGAAATACATTAAATTAATGTGGAAATATTTCAGGTGTGCAAATTACAGGAGCAATTAGAAACGACTGTGCAGAAACTAGAAGAAAGCAAACAGCTTCTCAAAACAAATGAAAATGGTAAGACCTTAATTCATGACTATTCCTGTTAATTGTAAAAAAAAAACCTCAACCAACCAACTAACAAAATCAACAAAACATGGATATGAGAGACATAAATAATACCCGTATTTACTCGAGTCTAATGCACCATCAAATTTAATGCACATCTTAATTTTCAAAACCTTGAAACCAAAAAAAGTATTTAGCAATGAATGTAGTGCACAGCAGCAAAAGGTGCACACTTTGAAATTTGGCCATTACAGGTTGCTCCCTGCTTAGAATTCATTCTTTAAAAACAAAAAGCTTCCAGCAACAGGGAAAAAACCATTGGGGTGCATCTATGCTGTAGAATGAATCCACTTGATTCAATGCTATGGAATTATGGAGGCTGTAGTTTTATATGGCATTGAGACATCTCTACCTAAGAGGGCTGGTGCCTCTCCAAACTACAACTCCCAGGATTGCATAGTATTGAGTCATGACTATTAAATTACAGATGACATCCCTCAAATAGGAGCTCCAGATGCTCTTGAAGCAGCTTCCCCTTTGGCTTTGGCTCAGCATTCAGATTACTATATTACATGCATCTTATGCGCACCTTAATTTTGGCAAGGTAATTTAGTCCAAAAACTTGAGTGTTAGACTCGAGTTAAAACAGTATCTTGTAAGACTAGGCAGTAACTCTTTCCTCTCTCGTCTATTTATGGGTGATACCAAATGCAGACGTCTGATGGATATGGGATGGGACTATTTCATTTTCTTGCTGAGGTCTTGCAACTACCCCCAAAACATTCTCCCAGGGAATTGAGTCCATTTTTGGCATCAGTGAGAAGGGAAAGAATTTCCATTGTTCTGTCACTGGAGCAAGAGCACCATTTTGGATTTATGCTGTAGTGAATTTTTTTCTATTAAGGGGATCTAGATTTCATTGTCTAAAGCAGTGGTTCTCAACCTGTGTGCCCCAGATGTTTTGGCCTTCAAGTCCCAGAAATCCTAACAGCTGGTAAAATGGCTGGGATTTCTGGGAGTTGAAGGCCAAAACACCTGGGAACCCACAGGTTGAAAACCACAAGTCTAAAGAGAGTTTTTGGGGTTGATCTCCAAAAATACATGGAGACATCATACTTCCTCTCCTTCCCCATCCTTGAAAATGAGTAACAATACATCTTATTTCCTCCTCTTTTGCACAGCTTCTTTGTACTTCACTTTTAATGAAAAATTCGAATGATATGGTATATTTTTGATGTAGGGGGGTTGCATTAATCATCCTAGAACAGAGAAGGCAAGTGTAGCTCCTCCACATGTTTTGGAGCACAGCTCCTGGAATCCCTGAAAACTCTTGCTGGAGTATGTGGAAGCTGCTGTCTAAAATATTTTGAGGCTACCAGGCTGTCATCCTTGTTCCTTAGAATAATAAGTTTGTCAGCCATTAATTTACTTTTACTAGGCTGATATCCATTGATCACCCGAGATTACATTGCGTTGCATTCAGTGGAAATTATAGCTGAAATTACATTCTTAAGTTTGTGTTGTGTCCTTTTTGAATATGGCTATCTAACACTAAACTGGGCACAGCATTGGTAAATTTGAAATAGCAATAAAGGCAATTAAAAAGTGACATTTTTAATATTTTGATTTGTAGTCATCACATGGCTAAACAAGCAATTGAATGAAATTCAACTGACAAGAAAGCAAGATGTGTTAGGAACATCTACCTCTCCTAGCAACATCACTTCAAGAACGGGCAGTTCTCCTCTTAGCATGGTAATTGCGATCTCATTCTCTGTTTATATTTCTGTTATAGTGACTGTTCTGGAACAGCTGTTCCAGGAGCTCCAATTTTATTTCTTTGAATTAAATGTTGGTTTGCAATCCCAGGCTTGGGATTTTGCAGCAGGGTGGCTTCCTGTTATAATTTGCATTCATAGGACAAGCCACTCGTCAATAACAGTTAGGTTCCCTGGTCCCGCCCCTCTCTGGGTTTTTTGTAGGGAAGGGGCCATTTTTCAGTATATAAGAATATTGCATAATTTTTCATATATAAGAATATTGCATAATGTTTTATATGAGGGAGTGAAGGACGTGTTTGAGGCTGGTTGACTAACTGACTTTCCTAAATCAAGGAGAGCACTGTCTTGAAGTCCATGAGAGCAAATGAAATATAGTATTCCAGAAATTAATAACTGCTGTACAAATAGTTGTATGATTATTTCCTTTTGTGTGTGCTTGGCTTACATTTTTTTAAAATGCAATAGAAAGACATCAAAATATCTTGAAAACTGCTTTTTAGGGCATTCTTGCTTTATCTTCATAAGTTTCATCTTGTTTAACAGGTTGACAGTAGGATCCCCTTTCTCGGCTCAGGACTGAGCTATCCCATCTCCCCATTGCTACCTTTTCAAAGCTACCCAGACACAGCATTTGCCAAAAACACCAGTCAGCAAACTTCAGGAATGAAGGCAGGCATTTAAAATATTTTTATGGTCTTCTTTAATTTCTTTTGTATTTTTCAGGTTAGACTTGCTATGCAATCTGTATTTAGGCTTCTTACTGTTAAGATTAAGGTCCAAGGCTTTTGCCTGAAAAAAAAATTGTGGTAACAAAACTAAAACAATTTAATGTTACTTGAAAGTGGAAATTCTGTTGACATCACCACTTTTTACTGTTCTGGATCCTTTTGTTATTGAAAATATTGGGAAGGATTTTTATATGGTATTATACAAATCAAATGGAAATGAGGAACAAGGTGTTCTCACTTTTACTTTTAAACCAGTGCATTTGTGTAAACACCCTTTATGGCTTGAACCAAATAATGACATGTAAAAGACACGTGAACAGTATTTTAAGAGAGTAAAATTTATGTTTCATTGTGAATAAAAACATTTTCAAGATGATGATAGCAGCCAATAAATAGGCATTTCTATTTAGAAAATGTAAGTGGAAAAATTAACTTCAATGTAATTTTCAATCTCTTCCACTAACAACGTACATTACCTGACTTTGCCATTAGAGGCTGTGGTCCTGTAGGTGACATATTCCAGGGTAGCCCCAAGTTATGTTGGTATCTGTATTTTAAGGAAAGGAGGTGTCCTGTATTTTACCAGCACCCCTTCTCCAGCCATGCAGTAGCAAGTATAGAGGTTCTTGTTGTGTCTCCCATGTTGCATCAGCTCCACTGGTTGCCAGTTCTCTACTGAGCATAATTGAAAGTGCTGGCTTTGGCTTATAAAGCCCTAAATGGCTCTGGCCCAGTTTACTTGTCCGAATGCATCTCCCTGTATGAACTACCATGGAGATTAAGATCTTCTGGAGAGGTCCTGCTCTCGGTCCCTGCAACCTTCACAGGCGTGATTGGCGGAGATGAGAGAGAGGGCCTTCTCAATGATTGCCCCACGGCTGTGAAACTCCCTCCCTGGCAAGATTAGATCCTGTCCTTCAAAAAGATGGTAAAAACTTGGCTGTGGGGCCAAGCCTTTGGGACAGTGCAATAAGGCAACAATAGGAAACTTTACCCTGCTGACCGGACCAGTATTGCTGATCTCAGAAGGTTTTAAACAATTGATTTTAAAGTGGAGATACTTGATTTTGGTGTTTACGCATATTTATAGTTTATCTTAGGTTCTGGCATTGAATGTTTGCTGTATCATATGCTGTGCTCCGCCCTGAGACCGCTTTGGGTTGAGAAGGGTGGAATATAAATGATTCAAATAAATAAATAAATTCTTGGTCACAGCTCTGTCTCGAATGCATTGCTTTGCTCCAAGGTTTATGTCAGTTTGGCTCCATCTAGGTCAGGCATGGGCAAACTTTGACCCTCCAGGTGTTTTGAAATTCAACTCCCACAACTCCCAGTAGGCTGTTAGGAATTGTGGCAGTTGAAATCCAAAAAAACGGGAGGGCTGACGTTTGCCCACATCTGACCTAGATCCATGTCAGCTGTCCTGTCCTTGCATATACAGGAAAGAAACAGCACACTGGGCTTAGGGTTTTCTCCAGGAATTTGACAACCAGAATACCCCAGGATTCATTCCTACAGCAAAGCAGTTGCTGACCTGCAGCAAGAACTGCTGCTCCAGCTGCCGTTAGAACTGCTAGAGGAACTGGAAATCTTTTATTTATTTATTTTAAAACTATACCATATCTTTCTCCCGCCAAGGAACCAAGGCAGCTTATAACATTAAAAATGGGCTGAAACGCACATTGCAAAAGTTAAAAAAATAAACAATACTATTGAAGCACGTAGTTAAAAATAGTTTAAAATATATTTTAAATGCATTTGTAAAACAGGATAAAACACTCACTGCCGCCAGCACAATTTCACTTTAGAATTTCCATCATTTATGGGACTTAAGAGAGACTTTCCCCTCCCCTCTCCTCAATCCCAACAAATGGAAACTTGGATCCTTTGATTGTGATCAGGATTCTTCTCAGACCTCTGTGATGTTTGAAACTGCTCTGGCTATAAAATTTTAAATGTGTTTAACTATTTTTGTGAGCCCAGCAGGTTCAGTTCAATATGCAGCTTTCAGAAAATAACAGATGTCCAGATCCACAGCCAGGAATTCCTGTGTTGGGGAATACAAATAAAGAAAAGTGAGTTCTTCTTGCCTTTACATTACTGTTAAAACATAGTTGTTTTAGAAATAGGTATTTTGTAAAAAAAAAAAAAAAAGTAGCAATAGAAACAAATAGATATTTTTAAAATAAAGATACTTGTGTTATTTTTGGAATTTCTGGAACTTTATACATGATTATCCATGATCTTGGTTTTCATTATATTCCTTCTAATATGCGGGACTGAGTCAACATTACAAATCCCTTTAGTACAAACTGTCAGATTATATTCCACAGCAGGCAGATGATAGACCAGGGAATGCATCTGATTTGTTCTCCTCAGTCATTCTGGCTTTGTCAAAGCACTTTGGTAATTATAAAGCCTCTCCTCAAATCCCAACAAATGGAGTTCAGAAGGTTTAAAAAATCTTCTATGATGTGGACCAAATTCCACTGAACATTAGATGTATGTAATAATTGTTTTCAAGATTTATGTTCTTTTATTAATGGAAGCCATCCTTGAGCAGGACTAAGATGATCTAGAGAGTGTTTATCCTTTCCCCATGGGTTATTGTCACCACCAGAAGTTAGTCCTAAAAGTTTCTGTCTGTTTCAAAGAAAGCTTGCCTCTGGGGCTAAGGTAGCGGGGCTTGACCAGAAGAAAAACAGGATTTTCACCTCTCTATTTTTTTTAAAAAAAGTGTACTTCAATCTTGCTTTGGAATACCAATATCAAATTTGAAAATTACAATGACATGCATTTAATAGGATGTGTAGTTCTATTAGCAGCAGGCCTATGGTTATGAAATCAAAAGTTGAGAATTTTGGTGACAAATTTGGTGTTAAAGGGTGCTATGAAAAGTGATCCCTCTTTAGTTACAATCCATCCAATTTAGTCGAGCACTTAGAGAATGGTCTACAGTGAGGATATTGGTTTTTGGAGAGACTCACAGAAGAGTAGATAGTACTATACCTGCCTGATTCCAGACTACTGTATTTCACCTCATATTAATTGCACTAGAGTGTCACTATTGTGCAAGAAAAGGGAAAAAAACATATTGGGACCTTCAAAAAGGGGAGCATGACTATTATGCAATGGAACTTGTTATTCTAGGAAATATGTTATATGAATTGTAAGGTCATTATAACTCCAGTATTTAGGCATATAGCGCTAATTGCTATATACTTTAGTATAGCAGCAACTTATCGTCACGATGATAGCTGGCTTCGCTTATAGTAGAAAGGTGGAATTTCAATGAAATAAGAATAACACTATGTAACAAAATTTGGAAAAAAAGGCTGTTCCTGGTTTGAAAGTGTTATTTCAGTTTAATTGTACGGTATTTACTTTGAAAGTAGTTGTTATACTCCAGAGACTTTTCTTTTGTGGCTGCCACAAACTGTGTTGAATTATTCGAGACTCTGAGATATTAATTGAAAAACTAGCAAAATGTGGTGCAGGATGTCCCACAAAAATATTTTTAGCAGTTTAATAAACCTTTTCTATGTTTTTATGATGGAACCAATTAGGAAATGACATTTCTACCTAGGGACAAAAATCATGTTAAAGGTAAAGGTTTCCCCTTGACATTAAGTCTAGCTTGACTAACTCTGGGGGTGGTGCTCTTCTCCATTTCTAAGCCAAAGAGCTGGCGTTGGAGCGCCGTTACCTTCCTGCTGGAGCAGTACCTATTAATCTACTTACATTCCCTTATTTTCAAACTGCTAGGTTGACAGAAGCTGGGGCTAACAGCGGGAGCTCACTCTATCCTGTGATTCGAACTGCCGACCATTCCGTCAGCAAGTTCAGCAGCTCAGCAGTTTAACCCAATGCACCACCACTGCAATCTAATACATTTGTGTTTTCTTACTATTAGTGGCGAAAACCTGGGATTGGATGCAAAGTATCTGAAGAAAAGGGAAGACAGTATTCCTTTGCGTGGGCTCAGTCAAAATACTTCTCACAACCCAGGTAAGCAAACACAAAGTAATTATTCACATATGTGAAAATTTGCTGTACATTTTAAATCCTAAAAACATTAATTTGAGAGTTTCTCTCTCCTCTTATTTGCAGGGCAACCAAAGTCAACTGCACTGAAAAAAACACAGATACCCTCCAAACCTGTAGCTCCTCCCAGAGCTTCTGCTTATTTTCCAGGGTAACAGATAACATATTTGGCTATAATAAATGTATTACGAGCAGTTGTACATTAGCTAAAGTATGCCAACATTAAATTTCAAGCAATTAAGCACTGTGATTATTCTCTACAATTTAATATAAAGAAGCTAGTGTTTACCTGAAATGTTTAAACTGTCATTTTTATGCAAATAATTAGCGTCCCAACCCTGACTTCAAAAATATGGATTATAATTAACTATTAAGTAATAAGCAGCCATTGAACTTGTGTACTTGAGTATATAATCTTACTCCTGATATCCATTGTGAAAGATGCCATCAAGAAAGGTTTACTGTTTTTCTTGCTTGTGCCAGAGACAAGTGAAGGAGTTCAAGGAATAAAGAACTCACCTTTCTCTTTCTCCCTATAAGCTAGTTCTGTTAGGCTCCTGAACTAAATATTTGTAATTCCTAGTTAATGGGTCTGTTCAATAATATGGTGTAACACTGCATTATTGTCCACTGATTGCAAAGACACCCGGGTATTTGCAGGTATGGTTTATTTTGTCTCTTATCAAAGAGTAATATCTAGTTTTCTCTAACGCTGAAGAAGCATTACTTAAGAATGACTGAGTTTGAGCTTTAAAATGTCAAAAATAAAGCACTTAAAAAGGTATGGATGTGTGGCTGTTGAGACGGTTCGATTGCAGCCCCCATCAGGTCTAGCCAGCAAAGCCTGTAGAGAGGAATGCTGCTTGGTTGGTCCAGTAATATAGATAGGAGTGTATGTTCGTCATTCCTGCCAGATATTCCTAATGTGTTTGCACTTGCTATTTTTGCTGAATTTAGACAGTTCACTGCAGAATTTTAAAAGTCTTTTTAGCATTTAACTTTGATAAATATAACCTATTACACATTCTGCATGGAGAAATGGTCTGCATTATAATACTGAGGAGTCGAGCATTCAAATCATAGGACAATATAAATTTTGCTGCCAATCAAAAGTCTTGTTTTTAACCCGCGTGTCTTTTAAGAGATAGAGGAATTGGAGATTATGCCCCTACGCTCTATTTTAAACTGTTTACAGTCCTTTAAGACATTCTGTACAGAGCGCTGGATTCTGTTTTGCACCTGGCAGTTTCACTCTTGCTGTATCTGAAGCAATGTCCAGTATTTCCTTTCTGTCCCTTAAGAGGTTGCTCCTGAGAACGGAGACCCTCTGGAGTACCATGTGAGGAGGCACCAGTGGCTGGAAGAAGGAAATGTGGAAATCTGCAATGATTATAACCTTCCCGCCTTCTCCAGCAAGAGGCCTAATAGATTGTGACTTCCTTTATGAATGTAAAGCCCCCTTTCCGTGCCTGGATCCCACCTACTGAACCCTTGAGCGTGGAAATCAATTTGTAGGGTGTGGGTTTGGACTTGCATTGAAATCAGTGAAGATTTGAGCACATTTTAACTCTGCTTTGTATCTGTGGAATTTCAAAATGAGGTTGGCTGTAAAACGTCCATAGATGTTGCCACATAATTCCCATTCATTTTAGTAGAGCCTGATGTCGCTCATGCTCTGTTCTTCAAATTCTGTATTAAGATTTTGTCAAGTGTGTTGTTTTGATGACTCTCGGGTTTCTGCATTGGTTTAAAAGGTGAATTTCTTTAGCTGTTTTAAATCATTTCAGGTATTTTATAGGCAGATTGTACAAAATCGTAATAACTCTCCTGTTGGATAGACAGGTGAAAATTCTCCTGCATGTTGTTTGAAGTGTGTAAATATAAATGAAATCTTTTGAACATGTACAGTTGAATCATTCTTTGCAGTGTAAAAGTTGTACATTTGTCTATAATCAGAATGATGTGCTCATATTTATATCTAAATACTCTTGTTTGTACATTTTCAAATAAAAGTAAATATTCATCTGTAGTCTTAATTTTAATGTCAGTGTGGAGTTCATGTCTAAACATTAATCTTACTGAAGATTTTGAGCATTTCATTTTGTCTGATGGAAGGCTACAAATCAATTGAGGAATGTTCTGCTCTGTCTTGTGCCATCCAGCTCTCTCTTTTTCTTGCCTCCCCTCTCCGTGCTGGTCTCCCCCTTCTTCCTCTCCCCTTCTCTGTTGCGAGTCCTTCGCCCTTCCCTTCCTCTTTCTATCTTTTTCTCTTTCTTCCTTTTCCCCTTCCCTCTTTCTCCTTCCTTCCTTCCTCTCCCCTTCCCTCCCTTCCTCCTTCCCTCCCTTCCTTCCTCCCTTCCTCCTTCTCCTCTTCCTTCTCTTCCCTCTCTCCCCCTCCTCTCCCTTTCTTTCTCTCTTTCTTTCTTTCTCTTCCTTTTCCCCTTCCTTCCTTCTCTTTTCTCCTCTTTTCTCTCTTTTCTCTTTTTTTCTTCTCTCTTCTCTCTTCTTTCCTTCCTCTTCTTCTCTCTCTTTTCTCTTCTCTTTCTTTTTCTCACTTTTTTTCTTTTCTCCCCCTCCTTCGACTTCTTGACTCTGCTTCTCCCTCTGATGCCGTCTTCTCCCTTATCTATCCCCCCCCAAAACTCTTTCAGTCTCCCCTAGTATCTCCCCTATCGCGCGTATTCATCTTCTATCTTCTCCTCCCTTTTTGTAGTCTGTCTCTCCCCTATTCTCCCTCTTCTTCTACCTCTTCTCTCACTCACTCCCCTTTCTACTCTTCTCACTCTGTCTCTTTCCCATACATAGTTTCCCATCATTCACACTCCCCACCCCAGATCCTCTCACCCCCCCCTCCTGCTGTCTCTTCACTATTCAACACTTACACCTATCTACTGACCATCTCTTCCTCCTGAACCCACAATGATCCTCCCTATCTGTGCCAGCTCGCGCCCCTCAATTCTTCCTTCCCTCCTCGCCTTGCCCCGAGTTCATCTGCCGCTCTTCCCCTGAACATATGTGATATGTCTCCTCTACACTTTGTTATACCGAGCCTGCCCTCTTCCGCTGCCTCATGTATCAATCCACTCTCTCACCTAGTATACTACTAGACAGCATACTTCTCTCCCTGTCATTTACACTTCATATCCCACACACACTTCCAGTCCCGCAGCCTAGCTCACTAGCTCAGTTACTCATCAATGCCCTCATGTACTACATGTTTGGGTGTGAACGGTGTCTTATGCAAACCACACCTCTCCTGCAGCTGCCCTCGGCGACTGCGTAGTCCACTCCGTAGAGTCGCTCACCACAAGACCGCTACCTCCTGTAGGAACCATGTTCGTTCATACACGTGCCCTAGCAGGTACCGTGTCGACGGTATCGAAGCCGTCCCACTTGTGTCCCACACCTTCTCCTGGACCTTCTTAGTGTGACCCACCCAACCAGGGGAGTATGTGTCCCTTGTCGCGACACCTCCTACTGGAGCCCTCACAGCACGACTCTCTCACACTACAGCATGAGACCATCCAGGCGCACGATGATCTTTCCCCAGCAATGTTTACCACGTTACAGGCTAGAGAGGCAACGACCTGAGACCCGGGTATCTATGATCACAGAGACACGTGTCTACCAAGAACTAATGGTGTGAGGCCACTACACATAGTACAACGTTCAGCGCCATATGACACCCAAGTCGAATCTCTCTGATGTGGCAATGGCGATAGTTGCGAGATTGTGGGTAGTGCGTTTCTCACGCGGTTAAGTATAGCTGTTTTAAGCTCGACGTGGACCTATCAGCTGACACCTCCTTCATCGGAAGGGAGATGCATTTACCACCACACACAACATAACAGACCATCCAACGCGTGGACACATACGTAGCTGCAAGCATAGCTTCTGGACACTGAGAGCGGGGAATGTTAACGTCGACATGCACTCTCACACAGACACTACACGATGACACCACAAGTCCATCTAGCAACATTACAATGCATCTTCAAGCACGAGACACTCTGGCTAAGTTGACGTTTTGTGACAATATTCAACACGATCCAGAGGTGAGATACACCCAATCGAGCATTAGAACCGAACGGAGGAGGACACACACTATGTGACAAGACGCGTCGCAACAACGTCGCACTCACCGCTCTAGCAGATCATCATTCCCGCTTTGTCTAGACACAGCAGACATGACGTGTGACAATAGAGACCAGAACGGCTTACCAGCACATGTAAACGCATGGTTCTGTAAAGACTGAGAGACAAAAGGCTTCACAGCGAGAAGTCGACGACCGGTTAAGATAAAAGGCTCTATAGTAGATAGTTGCCTCAGATACACTACGGCTGTAGAGTGACAACCACGATCCATGAGAAAGAAACGGAAAAACGAAGGACGCTGCGTTTGGTGGTCCAAACGTTTGGTATGATGTTATTGTTTACTGTTTGCGTTTTTGGTTGCGTCTTGGTTTTCTTCATTGTAATTGTTGTTTGGGCCTGGCCTCATGTAAGCTGCTCCGAGTCCCCATCGGGGAGGTGGTGACGGGGTATAAATAAAGATTATTATTATTATTATTATTATTATTATTATTACATATACACTGCACACATATCATTTGGGAATTGAATTGTGGGATACAGTGAGATACTAGGAAAGTTAATTCCAGAATATATTAGATTTTTGTCCAATGATTCTTCCTAGAGACAGACTTGTTTGCCCTATTAAAATGGCTTTAGACTGAGAGGCAGCGATTAAAACAAACACAGAAGCCACAGTCTTTAAAAAAGACACAAACAACCCATCCCGATTCCCAGAATACACTTAATGAACCTAATGATGTCACCCACATCAATGGTTCAGTCACTGGCTCATCTTCCATTGCAGTTAGCTTTACGACATCTGTGCCCTGCATTCCCCACAGAACAGGACAATCTCTGAAAAAGGAGGCAAATCTGAAATTAAATCTGGCATTGGTTGCTTTATTTCTAAAATGGGATAGCACTAATTTTATGGCTGCTGTGTCACTGATCCCAAAACAGCAAATATGAAGAAAAAAATGAATCTTTGAAGTGATAGTAACAAGACAGCCGAACAGAAAGGTCCAGTTCATTGACATGCTGTATGCTTTCAAGCTGCTTGGGGAGGAGATGATAGAAGGGTCACATGTAACTGGATTGAGCATTCCTCTCCACTTGCGATGCATCACTATGTGGCGTGATTGTTCTGTTCAAGATCTTCCAGTCCATGTTGGCGACTGCCATCAAGGTAACGGGACAGCTGTTCAAATCCCTAATCAGTTGTAGAAATTCATTGGTTACTTCAGGCAAGTCACTGAGGGAAGTAACAACAGCAACCTTCCTATGAATAAATCTTGTCATGTAAATACTTTGGTAGATTTGCTATAAATCAGAATTAATTTGAAAGCACATGATACTCTTGAGTTTCAATATATGAATGTTAAGTGCTATTAAGTTGACTTTGAGTTATGACAGCCCTCTGAATGTCATCCTGTTATTAGCAGCCCTGCTCAGGTCCTGCAGACTGACAATGTTTCCTTGACTGAGTCCATCTATCTGGAATGTGGTCTTCCTCTTCTACCAAACATTATTGCCTTTGCTTTTGAGTCATGTCTTCTTACGATATATCCAGTCATAATTAAAGTAATCCTGGATTCAACTTCATGCTTTATTTGCTCAAGGGCCCATTTTTCTTTATAGCAGTCTACAGTATCTGTAGAACGCTTCTCCAGGATCTTTCAAATGAGTTGATTTTATTCCTCTCAGTGTACTTCACTGTCCAACTTTCACAACCATAGAGATGGGCAATGCAACAGTACGACCAATCCTGACTTTGTTCAATGAGAAATCTTGGCACTTCAGTATTTTGTCTAGTTCCTTTTGGCTGCCCTTCCAAGTCCTAGGATGCACCTACACTGTAGAATTAATGTAGTTTGACACTTTAGCTGCCGTGACTCAATGCTATGGAATCATGGTAGTTGTAACTGTAAAGGTCTTTAGGTTCATCTGCCAAATAGTGCTGGTGCCTCACCCAATTACAACCCCCAGAAATCCCGATCATTAAGCCATAGCAATTAAAATGGTGTCAAATGGCATTAATTCTAGTGTAGATGCATCCTGTCTTCTGATTTCATGACTGCGGTTTCCATTTCTATTAATGACAGACCCATGGTATGGAAATGTTGAATTCTATGGTCATTACTTTTGTTTTCTTAACATTGACTATATACCTGCCTTTGCACTCTTTTCAGTAATAATGACCTAAGTCTTTGCCATTTAGTCTGAATTGGCATACATTACTTATATTCAAAGTGCTGGCTTTAGCCTATAAAGCCCTAAACAGTTCTGGCCCAGCTTACCTGTCCAAACGTATCTCCTGTGAATCATCGCAAAGATTCAAGATTGTCTGGGGAGGCCCTGCTCTCTGCCCCACCACCCTCACAAGTGCAACTGGTGGGGATGAGAGACAGGGCTTTCTCAGTGGTAGCCTCTTGTCTATGGAACTCTCTCCCCAATGAAATCATAACAGCCCCCTCCATCCTGTCTTTCAGGAAAAAACTTAAGGCATTGTTATGGGACCAAGCATTCGAGCAGTAACTATAGCAATGCAATACTTGAGATCTCTTAAAGTGACAGGCTAATGGACTGATCCTGGACTACGATTTTGAACTTACATGATTTTAATTGCTGTTTTAATAATTTATGTTTTATTGCTGGCTTTAATTGCAATTGTTATTTTTGCGAATCTGTTTGTTGGGCATCAAATTGTTGCCACCCCGAGTCTCCTTCAGGGTGAAAAGGGTGGGCGTACAAGTATGGGGAATAAATAATAAATATATCACAAGTGGCAATTCTATTATGTAGTGCAAGGATAGTAGATGAAACAGTGTGGAGAAATTGCCATTATCAAAACCCTGAACTGCTCGCTGGCATTGCCACCTACACCATGTACAGCATTCATATATGTTTGCAACTTTAGGAAATTGATTATGTAGTAATTAAATCAATTTATAATTCACAAATCTATGGCATAATACATGTGTTTCACATTAAATTGTAATGTTAAGTTCTGATCTGCCTAATAAGAAATTTCTGAAGGAATTGCCATTGCTACAATTTGTAAGAGCTTGGGGAATGCGCCTGTTCTTAGACGTGGTGTCCCTCTATTAAATTAATAGCTTAATATATAGTGTTTTTGCTGCAGTGGAGTGTAGGATTCAGACACATTTTTTTGGATACTTGGTAGCTTGACAAAGCACTACACTTTAAGATCAGAAATAACTTTTGCTCTCCGTCTTGATCCCAGCATTTTATAGTTTATCTTCCATTACAGAAGCTAGAAATAAAAATGTTGCAATTCTTTCAGCTGTTCTTAGTGGGCTGTACCAAAGATAAATAAAGGCTTGGATAAAAAAAAGATAAAAACCTAGAACAGATAAGACACCTTGATTACCAACAAAGCCACTAATAATCTCATCCATATGCATGCTCACAGCTCTATAGTGCTGTTTCAAAGAATTTTAAAAATCACTAAAATATGCAACTTTATTAACAGTGTATTTACATATTTTTCAGCTTTTTAGTCAACCGTGGTGAAAGTTTAAAAAGCTTAAGCAATAACCACAGCACAAGATGAAAACATTTTGAACTATACAATACTTTATACACATTTTATACAAAGGAACACTTAAATAATACAACTGGACACAAAAATATACACTTTTAGAGAAATTCACATCAGTAATTGTATAAAGCTCTCTCCAGTACTGTGGTCCTGAAACTGCAGGACTAAACCTTGGCTCTGAAGTGTTAACTTGTGAAGGTCCTGAAAGGCCACTATAGAACAAGGGTTGCCCCTCCAATTGCTAGGCAAGGCTTATTTACCTCTCCTCTTATACACCTCATGCAAAAATGGCAGCTCAGCAATAATTTGGCCTTAGTTCCATCCCACATAGCCAGTGATCCTGTCCAGCAACAGAAGGGGCAATCCAGGATAGAGCACATTGACATCTTCAAGGCTATCAGCTTAGAGTTGAGTTTGTATATTCAAGTTTTGAGGTCCTTATGCAAAACATCCAAAGCATAGTGGTATCAAAGTGTGTTTACGAAGGTAGAGTTCTGGAGCCAATAATAAAATCTAGGCTCACTCTACCCACTAATTTAAGTACTACATACTGATACTATACTCAATTCAAAGAACAAAGAATTAGCAGAATAATGCACTTAAAGGAGTGTGTACTGTTCAGGATGTGTGTTCAACACATGATTGTGTTAATAATAATAACAAGACCTGCAAGACATTGATTGGAAAGTCCCAAGGTCCCCCCAATTCACCACCTTTCTTGGTCAAGTGCATCTGTGTTAAGGCTTCAAATTCATCCGACCCAAGATTTACAGATAAAATAAATGGGTACCCAAGTCCTGCTAGTATGTCTCACTGAGACCAGCATGAAGAGAATAAAGCTTAACACCTTCCGGAAACTGGTGCAGGAACACATGCCGTTACCTTCAGTATATATAACTTTGTTTCAAAATTAAGATGTGAAGATTTAATATCCCATTAGGACTTTATGGCAAAAAAAAAACCTAAACAGAGGCTTTTAAAGAATTAAATAATTTAAGTTGTAACTTCTTTGGAGGATTTTCCACTTCCTTTTTTTGTGGTTCTTACAATTTTCATGCAAAGAGAAAAAATCCTTAAGTCCACCTTAAGAAATGACACTTTCAATGGAAATGGAATGTGCATCCAGAACTGCAGGTGAAAAAGAGTAACGGTAAGAAACTCGCTCTAGGAGTCCTGGAGTTTTGTTGTCATACATTTGTGTCTTGTAGCAAAGGTTCTTTGGCCTCCCCAGGGGCCTGTGGACTGTGCGGGTGGCCATGTCCACCACAGTGTTTTTTCCAGCTGCTAGAGCGGACATTTAAGTTGGTGTGTTCCGGAATAAACAAGGCAACAAGTAGAGCCAGTAAGACAGAGCAGGCTCCAAATAAAAAAGGAGGACCCGGAATGATCGAGTTCTGGAAAACAAAACACAGAATAAAATAAACACAGAGTTGACAGAACTAAAAAAATTAAGAGTGAACTGAAGCACAGTATCATGTTATTCCAACACCACCACCCCTCATTAACCAGAACAGTGGTTCTCAACCTATGGGTCCCCAGATGTTTTGGTCTTCAACTCCCAGAAATCCTTACAGTTGGTAAACTGGCTGGGATTTCTGGGAGTTGTAGGCCAAAAACTTGAGGACTCACAGGTTGAGAACCACTGATCCAGAAAGATTAAAAGGTATATTAACCTGTGAGACTCTAAACAGTAACCTGTTCAACTTGCTTCAGGCAGTTAAAATACAGAACACTAAGTGCACATGGAAGGACTTCTAGCTGCTGCTTCTTGATACACCTATCTTCATCATGTACATTTTCCATAGATGACTGAAATCAGGAACAGGGAAGTGTTGCGTGTCTAGGGTTACATTCTATCCTGGAATATGGAGCTATCATTATTTATTTTCACTGAGGTCCCCCATCAGCCTCGTGGTTGCCTTCAAAGGGCACAGACAGCTCACATTGCTTTTGATTATCCACCATGTGGACTGTGGATAATGGGAATTACAACACAACATCACATGTGGCTCTGAGATTGGGGAAAGGTTAAAGGACATCATATCCACAAGCCTTGTATCTCAATTCAACCCCTCCTCTCCTGATTAAACAGAACAAACTACAGCCTTCCAGATGTTACTGTATCATAACTCCCATCAACTGTAGTCATAATGTCTAATGATGAGGAAAGCAGGAGTTGTAATTCAGCATCTGGAGAGCCACATAAAATGACATGGCAGGCCGGATCCAGTCTGTGGGCCTTGAGTTTGACACATATGCTAGAATCTGTAAGCAGCTACATGACATGCATGGAAAAGGCCAGTGTCAAAAAGTGGGCAAAGTTTGTACTGTTACAAAACTGGATGGCTCTCCTGCTCCTTAACTTGCAAATTTGCCTCCTTGTGGTTTAGCATTTTCAGTAATATGCTTTTAATATGTAAAGTGATCCCGCCGCCCGTTATTACAAACAAACTGAAGACAATACCTGCTGTGAATGGTGCTGTGTAGCTATGCTATCTCCCAGGTCATTCTGAGTCACTGGAAGCTCATTCAGTTCTACATGGAAAATGTAGAATATAAATCCATAAAGTGCTGGTCCCAAGCCGTTACAGAGTCCTCGGATTCCTGTTATCATTCCTTGGACAACACCTAGGAAACAATTTTGAAAGTCAGCCACAGGAAAGTGCTTTTCTTTCATGGGATACTCAATATACAGCATGTTTAACCAATATTTGCCTGCCTTCCCTGGAAACTGCATTCAATTCAGACTGCTGGGAAACATTTTGACTTTTTTTTTTTACTAGTACTCAATGTTCTGGTTAAAATAAAGCCATCTGCAGAGTCTAATGAAAGCAAAATGTTAGCATTGTCTGTCAACACTCAAGAGCAATTATAATTTCAGCAGTTAAGGAATGAGAGTTTTCCCTTTTAAATTTATAAAGCACCCACCTTGTTGATCAGCATCAGCGGTCCGTGAAACTAGTGCACTGACAGCTGGAAACGTGATGCTAGACATGGCAGCCACAGCACCTGCTGCCCACATCATCCTGGAAGGCAGGAAAAAGAGAGAAAGGGGAATGTATCTGGCTAGGAAAACCCCAGAAGGTATGTGAACATCCATCATGTGAAGGATAGGTCAATTGGAAAAGAACATTTTTTATGTAGCTGTCAAACTTCTCCATGATAAATCTTTAAATAGAGAGTATAATCACTTATCACACAGCTGTACAACATTTTAAATAGAAGCAAAACACTGATCTTGCACTCAACTATGAATCACCAAACACCAAGAGGTATTTTTTAAAGAAGCCTCCTAAATTAAAAACAGAATATGCTAAAAATGTAACACTATATAAAAGGAAATGCCTTGAGAAGCAACTTACCAAGGTTCTGAGCCAAAACCATACCACGCAAGCTGTAGTATTTGAAATCCCAGACCCAACAGGATGGTGTTTTTGTTTCCAATTGATCTCATAAGTAAACTCAAAACTATTGTCTAGGGGAAGGAAAAAGACAATTGGTAACCAAAAAACCCAGAAATGTGATAAAAGCATTGATAGCATGTAAACGTATGGCTCTTGGGGACTTCAACATCCATGCAGAGACAACCCTTTTCAGGAGTGGCTCAGGACTTCATGGTCTTCATGACAACCATGGGGCTGCCTCAAGTGATAGCTGGCCCTACTCATAATGCTGGCCACACATTGGGCCTGATTTTCATCTCCGAGGGTAGCCAGAATCTGAAAGTGGAGGAACTGAGCTTGATTCCGTTGCAATGATTAGATCAGTTTTAGACTCACTGGTCAGTTTTACTGGTCAGTTTTAGACTCACTGGTACCATTAACCTCCACAGAGGTTGTAGATCTTATTAAGATGGTTCACCCTAGGAGACTGATGGATCCAGATAAATTCCTGAGGTCTCTTGGGAAATTTCCCGCTGCCAGAGTAGCTGATCCTATTGGGTTTTGGTCAGCCTCTGGAATATGGAGGTGGCCAGGGTGATCAATATGATCACACCCCTTCCCAGACATGGAGCTAAGTAAGCTCCCTGGTTCTGGTGTAAGATGGGATCCGGGAATAGGGTTACAACCCGAGCTAGATGGGGGTCACACTGCCCTTGAAGTCTCAGGTTTACAGTTTGGGGGTTATCCTGGACTCTGCCTTAAACCTGGAAGCCCAGGTGGTGGTGGTGACTACGTCGGTCTTTGCACAATTAAAGATTGTGCGCCAACTGCACCCGTTCCTGGAGAGATCGGAACTGGCCAGAGTGGTACACACAATTATCACATCCAGATTAGATTACTGTAATACTCCCTTGAAGAGTTCTCGGAAACTACAGTTCGTTCAAAGATCAGCAGGCAGGCTTCTAACGTGGGCTGATCTCAGGGAGCATACCACTCAGTTACTGAAACAGTTCCACTGGCTGCCTATACATTTACGAGCCCAATTCAAAGTGTTGGTTCTCACCTATAAAGCTCTATACGGCTTTGGTCCTGGTTACCTGGAACACCGTGTTGGCCGAGCACTGAGATCATGTGAGGAGACCCTTATCTCAACATGGGCCCGCTCGAATGTGCACTTAAAAAGGACCAAGGAAGGCTCTTTCTCAGGGATGGCATCAGCACTTTGGAACTCCCTTCCCAAAGAATTAAGTTCTACCCCATCCCTGTTCCGGAAGGAGGGAAAGATCTTCATATTTAAGAAGGCCTTTAACTAAATTTAGAACCACATTGGGTACTGCTGTGCTAAGTTTTAAGATCCAATGTTTTTAGGTCGAAGGGGTTTATATGGAAGAAGGGGGATTGGTCTTATCCAATATTTGATTTTAACTATGTTTTCACTTTGTATTGTATATTTATATGTTGTAAGCCACCTTGAGACTGCTTGCAGAGAAAAGTGGGGTTAAAAACATCTTAAATACATAAATAAATATTCCGTTAGCTCTTAATGACTTTGCCAAAACCATGCTGGTAAACAATGAAAAACTGAGAACATGGAGAATAAGAGAAACTGAACAGTATCTTCTAATACTGTATAAAATTCATGAGAGGGAAATTCTTAGATATAATTTACTACTCTCAATTTGCTGCTTTTTGGCAGAGCACCATATTCTCTTACGTTATAACTGTCATTTGGCAAGCTGTTTGTAAAGTTTCCAAATGAAATGTCTCTAGTTCTCTACTGAACATATTGAGTATCTCCTTACTGCTTAGTCAGAGCTGCTATGATGTAATAACACCGCTTACTACAGAGCACAGCCACACTGTGAAGACTTTATTGCTACTATCAGCCATATCACAAATCAGTCAGTATATGGAAGCCTTTCAAACAGTCTTCATTTTATGGATGGCAATATAATGTTCAACCATGAATAGCAGCATCATAATTTCCAAATGTCTCAATAACATTAAATATACAAAGGCCTAGTAAGATCCACTGAATACACAGAACCAGTTCCACACATCTTCTACTTTTGTATTCAAGAGAAAAAAGCAAAAAAATATTTATTCTTAGATTTATATCTACTTTCAGTTGCAGCTCCACAGAACTCTGCCCTAGATACTCAGGGCCCTGAATGCTCCATATGCAGTTCTCATTTCACCAACCCTATGACCTGCCAAAGCACCTGCCTTCTCCAGTTAAATACATCTCAATAGTGGAGAGCAACTTCTAAGGGTCAGGGAGCATATCAGCCCTTCCCTGGGGATCTTAGAGGACCACTTCATCCTGAACAATTTGCCACATACATACACATTTTTGACTTAAAACTAGTCAATCACAGCCCAAGCAGCCTTCATGCTGTATGACTGGCCATTCTGAGCACAGGGGGGCTTTTCTCAAAAGCAGAAATTATTACCAGTTCATTATTTCCTGTCTAAGACATCCAACTGTACTTCTTGAGGCTTAAGCAAGTGTTGTTAGTCAACACAAGGTACAAAAATCACATAGGAAGCTACACTGAATAGAATCTGCCCATCCCTCCTGTACAACACACACACAACTGAGAGTTATAGTTACCTGTGCGACAATAGAGAGGATTCCAAGGACTGCTATAAATGCTGCAACACTTTCCGGTGAGAATCTCATTATCTAGAGAAAGAAATAATCTTTATTACTGCATTTTGAAAATAGTTAAAATTAACTTTCTTATTGAAATGAACTGGCTCCTATTAGGATACTGAAATGCTGAGTGTCAGTAATTTCTTCAGTACAAACAGTCTTTAAATGATTCCATAGTAAAACACAAATAATAATTTCATTCCAACATAGCTGTTAATGGAAATTCAACCCCCAAACTAGCAGTCACTAGCGGACAAATCATTCAGATTCTGGCGCTCATTTTTGTGTATTAATATTTAAGAATCAAAATAATATGGCAAATGCTTACTTGTCTGAGGTACAAGAAGAAGCTGGAGTACTGGCCTGCCTCAGGGAGGTAGGAGAGAAAGACTGTTATGCAGATTAGCAGCACAATGGAATCCTGGCCCACTTTCTTCAGTGACTAGGAAAAGGAAAGTAAAAAAAACACCCTTGTAAATCATCAGCTATATATTACTAATAAACCTGATGTCCCTATGTCTCTTAGTATGACAGAGATCATGATTGACAGAGGTTTGATCAAATCAGCATACAGAAATTGGATCAGGTAGGGAAACTAGCTATCTAGCTCCTGAAGGATGCTGCCTTATCACGATCCAGCATATCAAAGCTGGAGTGTGATAAGGCACTGCAATTGTCTAGCTCATATGCTAGATACCCAGAAGGTTGCTGGAGGGTGGGAGAGGACAATGGAAACACTGTTTACATTTGCTGTGGTTAGGGGCACAGGTTGCACATGAAGGCAAAAAACTGCAGACAAAGAAATTGTCATTTATTTGCTGGAGAGAACACCCCTTTAGGAATTATTTGGTCCTCTAGTGTAACTGGAGGATATTAACCAGGAGGCACAGATAGCAGATTCTCAGAGATAGCATTTTCATCAAATCCGTAAAAATCAACTCCGCAAAAATGTGGATGGGCAACTATGTGGTCATTTCAGCATAAATACTAGAGTTGTGTATAATTTCATTATTAATTTGTATTTTGGATCAAATGTGTTAAATTCATGCATACGAATCGATATTTAAAACATGTAGGAATGGTTGGGGGGGGGGGTTAGAAATTGAAGAACACACTAATCATTTTAGTTAACGTTCTGTAACATTCAAGTGCCTCCCAAGGTTAGTTTATTTTTCAGTATAAGCATTAAGCAACTTTGGTAAAGCCAAATATAAATAAATAAATAAATAAATAAATAAAGTGCTTTTAAAAACCAGTCTTTTTTTCTTTGACCCAATCAACATAAGGATGACACTGGAGACAAGACGAAAGTTAATGGGCGGGAGACTGAGAACATAGCCATCTTAAATGTAGTTTGGGAAGGTGAGGCCCTGCCCTAAACTACATTTCTCAGAATGCAGTGCTCAGCATCAGAAAGCCTCAATGTAAGTAATAGTATCAATCTGTGCTAAGTTGAAGTTATGTGGTTGTGTGTCATAAAGACCGACAGGCATTCAAGGGAATTGCTGTTATTGCATTTTGGGAGGATAAATTGTTCTTGTCTAAACTTTTAAAAATCTCCAAAAACCTGTAGATGTGTGAATCTTTCTGAAATCTGTGGGGATTGATGCCCTGGTTAGGGCATTATATACAATGCCCTTGTGCATTGTATATAAAATTCAAGTACATAAATCTTGTAGTTTTGTTTTAAATGTTGTTTATAAAAACATTGCAAATTCCCCAAAAACCTGTGGATAAGTGAAATGTTCTGAAATTTGGTGGGCTAACAGTGGTAAATGTGTTCTATCATTGTAGGAAGTTTCACTCAAATAGCTTTAAAAATGAGGGGGACGGAGCTCCTGAACTTACCCCAATTATAGTAATTATGCGCAATTACTATAGCGAAATAGTAATGAAATTTTGTTACTCCCATTATAGTAACAAATTTTTCACAAACTATACTTTAAAATCACTTTAGAAATGAAGCGTCAGCACCCAGTTTTGTAATGACTTTTGAACGATTTTTTTAATGGATTTCACATCTCTACTAAATACAGTAGTGAAACTAATGCACATTAATGGATATGCCATAATCTCAAATCAGCTCACACCACACTCTGTACACCAAACAATTAAATATATTACCGCAAAAGGGTCAGCTTGTTCCCAAGAAATGGGTGCGCCCCATGACGCAGGCCTCATCTTTTCTGGCAACGATTCAGGCACAGCAACAAGAATAAAACAAATATCCAATAATGCAATAGCTGTCGCTAGGACCACCACCAGACTATCTCCATAGACTCGACCAAGATAGGCACCAATGGCAGGGCTGGTAACTAAACTTGCAGCAAATGTTGCTGAAACCTATGAATAGCAACAGTGAAAAATAGTCAGTGAATAACTTCTCTAAATATCTCAGGTCATAACAAATATGTTCTTGATTAGAGGACAGGAGAAAGCTACGAAAATGTTTTTAATGCTTTTTGATACACAGTTGTATTCAAGGCACCTCACAAAGAAACAAGACCCACTTCATATAAAATAATAAGAAGAATACATTCTGAATTATTTATATTTGGGACCTGTTTTTTTCTTACAGCAACTAGTAATAGAACAAACAGGACCAAATTTATAAAGCATAGCCAGAAAATGCAATGTACCATTAGATAAAGAATATTTTGTTCTATCAAGATGGTGAAGATAAGGTTGTACTTTAAAATGCTAACAGAGAAGAACAAGGAGGCATACAAGTTCTTAACCATCATATGTTTGTTTTACATGGCACTGAATTATTGCCCATTGTAAGGCCGCTCTGAGTCCCCTTCAGGGTGAGAAGGATGGGGTATAAATACAGTAAATTAAAATAATAATTAATTAACCATTATAGTTTTAAAAGGTTCTAATTACTAAGGTCTTTCGTGTTTTTAAAGAATACAAAAGAACTACACACATACCAAGCCATAGGCCATGCTTCGTTCGTGTTCTTGGGTTATATCTGCTACATAAGCAAACACCACTGAAAAGGTCACTGCAAAGACTCCGGAGACAGAGATAACAGCGAAGTACCACCTGGAGGGAAAATCACCATAAGATTAAAAATAAGGAGGAAGCGCTAGGAAAGGTAGCTGATTAATAAGCAGCACACGCATTCACCTATTTAATTCTGCTTGTCTGAGTTGTGCATGTATTAACATTTATTTTCCAACCAGTGTCATTACAGTCATAAATACATCAAGAATAGTTAAAAGCTCTATGGAGAACATTTATAAAAATCAGAAAACTAATTTTTATTCATACTTGCAACACTGAGCTACACAAAAGCAAATCACATAATAAGATATAACTATAGTGATCTACAGTTATCTCTCAAGAACTCTTCTCCCATCTTTTGGACAGACATCTCAAAGCCAACTATTCTGTTAAAAAATTTATTTTGTTTAGTGAGTGGAAATATAAATTTGCTTGAATACTGGCACAGCAAATCTTATATGAAAGTCAATGTTAAGTCTTTCCACTAAGAGAATAAATATCATCAACAACCCTAATATTTGATCCCAATTTGAGATCAAACCATTTAGTAGTTTTTATTCCAGATCAGATATGGTCCTTATTATGGTCCTTTATATGCAAGAGGAGGAAAAAGAAGAGGAGGAGGTTGTGGAGGAGGAAGCTGCAGAGGAGGAGAGGGAAGCAAAGGAAAGCTTTGGACTCACGTTTCAAATATGCAAGCTATTATGATAATGCCTCCAAATATTGAAGCAGGTCTCTGAATTTTGCCCATAATTGTTTTTGTGCTAGTATCTTGCATGTATACTAATATCAAATTAATGTCCAAATACTCAATTCGTAAAAAAAGGTTTCCTATGCATATGCACTAGATAGGTTGATGTGAAAAATAACAGCTTTGTAATCAAATGGTCTTTATTTTGTCATTTATTTTACTCTTGCTTGGAGGTATTGTAATTGTCAATGATATGAGGGAGAAATCTTCCATGAATCACAAGATGTGAGTATTACCAAAAACAATATAATAAAAAATCAATTCCAAAGAAACACTTACTTAAAGACTTATCTATTCTGCATCTGAAGAAACTAAATGACCAAAACCTGTAGAAAAAGTTGGGGAAAGAGAAATTTCGTAGGCCCACCAATTGGATCTGTATGTCCAAGTGTAGGGAATGGACTCCAAGAAAGTCTGAAGTGTACCAAAAACAAGTGTTGCCCTTTTATTCTCCAGTATTGCCTGAGAGCAAAACAAGCAAGGAAGCCAAGGACAGTTTTCTATGCCACACACAATGCCTTCATTGGCAAGTGATCTGGCCTTCTGCCAAAAGGACCAATCAGAGCTTGAACAACAACTGTCAAAACAAGCTGAAGAAGCTGACATTTTAACAAGGCTTGTATCAAGAACACAGGATCAACACGTCCAAGACATAATTGAAAAAAAAAAAGAAACAGAACACTAACCATGGGCTGATCTTCATCAGTGGAATTGGTGCACATGTAAAAAATACTGTTAGCAGCAAGAAGGATTTTCGGCCCCACACATCAGACAAAGCTCCAATCAAAGGAGCGCTCAGGAAAGACAATAAGCCCTGTGAAGTAAACACAAATGTTTTAAGAAAAAGAAACACCCACACTGATTTGGGGGTGGGTGGGGAGGACAGCATCTATACATAATATGAAAGCCAACTTTTAAGTAAAGCAACAATTTCCCTGTTCCTTGCAGCAAGTAGCAGATCAGCAGCAACACTCATCAGAGGGTTTCTGTGAATGCTTCTTAGACCACTAAAATAGAGGGTGTGCCATATAACTTCCTCTTGGGTTTTTTTTTTGTGGGGGGGGGGCAGTGTGCCAATAGGTTATAGACAGCTGTTTGCAATTAATATGAATTATCTCCAGATGACCAGGCATTTTTTTCTCTGCCTTGAACATGCTGGAGATAAAGAGTGACTAGATGGGCTAGCAGTTGTTACACATCTACCTGGTTTTTGTATCTACTGCTTCACAAAGCAGGATAAAGCTCCCATTAGCTCTGTGCAGCAGTAGTTCTAGACTGAGAAAAAGCATTAAGATCTGTTTCTAAGTAAGGAAGTTTGTACTCTAGGGGAGTCAATACCAATAAATATGCAAACTGGATATAAATGATAAGAAGAGCAGAGGGAGAAGCTATAAAGCCAACAAGATAAACTTTTCAATGATATTCTTCCCCAAAGTGCAACACCAGACATCTTATTCCAAAACAAGTATTTAAGTTTGAGGAACTTCTAGAAATTCTTTGGGGGGGAGGGAGCAATACACTAGCCCGCTATCAGATAATCTTCAGAACTGTATTATGTCAGTATTGGGGCTACAATTTCTCACGTAGTTTTAACAGGGGCTGCAATATATGTAGATGGGATGGTGAATGAAATCAATATAGCTTGCACTTTGCTTTGGTCAATTGACACAAGTATGCATTCAGTATACAGGGTCTACTATAAAGACAGACAGTTAATGGCAGGATTGCCAAACTTAAGCCTGATGCAACATCTGGAATCCCCAGAGCGACCTGCAGCACATTTTACAAGCTACTGAGCCATTTTCCTGTCTATGAAGTTATCTTCTCAATAAAACAAAGTCACTGATGCATCAATGACACAATGTGTACCCTGGCATTAGACTGCCATTCCATTCAATTGAAACTGCAGCAGAGAATTAAATATGCAATATTTCCAGAACAGCAACTCAAAATACAGTTAAAAGTGGTGGTGGTGGCCTGTGGCCAGTGGAAGAGCAGACTAGGATGGCAGGGCTGTTAAGTGAGGGGAAATGGAAGGGAAGCTGTTCTTCACATACAACAGAATGCTGGAGGGCAAGTAGTATCTTGTTTCAAAAGTGATAAGAGCTGCATGGGTCATTTGTGCCTATGTCTTGAGATGATGTGCTCAGGCTTGCTTGTGGTGAGCTAGATACTTATGAAGGGATTTGTGGAAGCAAATCATGGAAGAGTAAGACACTGGGTTTGGATGTTGTTTTTAGGCATAACATTTCTTTTATCACAAGCTTGGTTTGGAATCAAGCCTAGAGTTCTCCAAGGTGACTAACCTGTGTGTGCCAGGTGGACTGCAGGTGGGGGTTCACATGATGAAATACTTTTCCATTAGGTACAACTTACTATCGTAAAATGACACAGAATAATTCAAATCCTTTCCTTTCTAGCATTCCTCTTTCCATGTTCAAAAAACTATAACTGAATTCTAATAGTGTGGCTGCATCTAACGACAAGTAATGCAGCATTGTCTCATGGACAATTGCTTGAATTATATGCATTCAAGCACTTACAGAAAAACATCCCCATGTCCCCCTGAAAGAAAGGATTTTAAAGTCAGTCTTATCTTACCTTTACTCCTTGTATTAGGCCATTCATTAAAAATGTGTGTTTTGGAAAAGTTTCATGCAAAACCTGTAAAATAATCAACAGAAATTCTCAGCAATGCTAATGCAGCATTGAAAAAAGCACACTGGTTTTTCTTATGTACTCTGGAGTGTTTCATGTAAGGAGGAGGAAAGACGGGAAGAGTGGCATGTTTACAATTAAGGGGCTGCAGCTATAACATGACACAACATGAAGTATAGTGCTCAAACAGGAATATTTTTCTAACAACCAATGCTGCAGCTGCTGAGTCACCCAAACCAATGAGGTTTTAGGAGCTAACATTTGGATAACAAGTGTAGATCTTTTCCTATCCCTACAGAATAGTACAAAATAAGCATTAACTATTGCAAACACACAGGAATAAGCTTGACTGGTCAAGAATTTGCTTTCTAACCCCATCTTCTTTTATGCACACTCTGCACATTTTGCAGTCATGTGACACTGTAGACTTTTTCTGCATACAGAATTTGTGATTGTGTGTCCTCGGCGCTTCACAAAATAAATTTGAAGGAAGAGTTGTGTCTTATGGATGATTGGATAGGTAAAATATTGGTCTGCATAAATAAAATAAATATGACTGATGAGAGTGTTGAAGGATTCAGTGTGGAAACAGAATCTGTAATCCTTTTGTTTAAATAGGTTACAAAGTTCACACATGAAAAATTGCCAGTGTGTTTTATGGCTTCCCCCTGAAGTTCATAGTACAAGTATATCATTTTCAAGACATACACTAACCCAAAACTGTTGTGAAGTGTACTGCGAGAGAAGAACCCAGAGGAGAGAGAAAACGTTGCCACTTGTAGTACTAAACATAATTATCACCAAGATCTTTTGGGTTTCTACTAACTCAAGCAGACCCACTGGACTAGCTATCGAACACTTAGTCAATATGTATAATCAAATCCTGTTGATTCAATTAGTCTACGGCAGTCAGGAATAACAGCAGCATTCAGGTCCATATAATTTCTTGCTTTGAGTTTGTACACTACAGAAACACATTCTCTAATGCAGGGACAGGTGTTTATGGGAACCAGATGATGTTGGACTACAGTCCTCATTATTCTTTACACTTAACTAAAACAGCTAAAACTGGTGAGAGTTGCACTCATTTCCCATCCTGGCTCCAAAGGATTATTTTTATGCGTGATATCAAAGTTTGCTCAGAGCACTTTGACTGCAATTTTAATTTAATGGTACGATGAGGAAGCATTTTCAAAGATAAGTGCATTTTTAACCTTTCATCAAATACAAGATGAGCCAGTTTTCCAGGAATATATTACAATAATATCTCATTGAGAACAGAATGCTTATCTGAGTGCAAATCTCAACTATAATGAAATGCCCCTTGCACAAATATAATAGTATTACATACTGTTACACATTATCTTTAATAAAACATTGAGCCAACTACTTGAATAGCAACAAGTCACAACACTGGAAGGTAAATAATAAATGAATCAATTTCTTACATTTCTCTCCCCTTTTGCATTGTGAAAGCCTGCCTTCGCTCCCATATGCTTAGGAACCCTTGCACCTACTCCACTACTCTCACCAACTCATTGGTAGTTATTTGATGGCAGGCTTAACCATATTTTCAGTGTCAGTAATTTGCAAAAACAGAGGTCTAAGAGCAAAGAGATAAAGTGGCAAGCCAAACATCTTTTTTTCTGCAACTGTCTTTAGGAGAGACAAGTCATTGAATCAATAAAAGATGGCTTATGTTTTTTGAGCTGAGGGTGCACAATCCTAAGCTCAATAATGGTTTAGTAAGTGAGAGTGAGAAACAGGGCAACACTTTCCCAATTGACATGTATCCTCCCAAGTGTTTCAAGGAAACTTTGCCATCAGGTTAAAAAGGGAGTGCTGTCTGCAACTACTGTCCTAAAGTCAATGTTTAGAATGCGGCAAGAGATGTGGTACTACTACATGGCCAGCTACTTGCTCCTAGTTGCGCAGCTATAGCTATGAAAGCCATAATACCAAATTAAACAACTGACTATCATTATTCACTTGAGCCAGAAAACAATAACTAACATGAAATTAGAAAATGTATAAAGCAAAAGGAAAAGTACTACTTACCACTAAGGTAGGTGCTGTCAGGAGGCCCCAAGCAAAAAATTCCAAAAATATAACTATCACAGCATGGTAGACACTAGGCGAACCTATTCCTTGAGGCTAAAAAGAAGGGGAAAAAAAGATTACAACTGAGGTAATGCACACAAAAAACTCTCATTACAAGAAGAACGAAATTCATTCAAGGACGTAAGACAGCTATCATTATATTTATGTGCAATGCCATACAAGAGTTTAGTGCAGCACATCTCAACCTGGGTCTTCTACAGATGTGTTGGTCTGCTACTTCCATCATTCGCTGTCAGCAGAATTTAGAACTCTAAACCACCTACTTGGTGAAGAAACCAAAATGTACAACGGGAGATAAAAACACACTAGCATGAGGCTTGGTTCTTCTTGGCACATAAAACCAAACCATATTTTGGAATTATAAATGTAGCCACATGGCAAACATTAATGTTGCAAACCTTTTTCTACAATTTAACAAAGAGTAAAGATTTCTATATCCACAAGTTTTAACTTTTCTAATTCCTACATAATAGCCACTCGAAAGGTTTGATACTATTTATACATGAGTATTTTCATTTAATTTCCCAGATAACTTTCAAGGTGAAATATAAAAAATGCAATCAAATTAAAACCTACCATCCACAATCCATTCAAGTTATATTAGGGTGGTAGAAAAGCAGCACGAAACTAAATAATGCCTTAGAATGGGATGGACACAATGAAACCCTCTAGAATAAAATTTGCCATCAGCGTTGTAAATATGACCAATGGTGAAGAATTCTAGGAGCTGCTATTCAACAACATCTGGAAGGGCAAATTTTCCTCATCCCTGCATAAGAAGACCTTTGCGAAAATGACTCTTAAACAAACCTCCCTTTATGAATAAGAAGAACATAAATGTTTAGGAGTCCTTATTACTGCTGCTGCATCTACAGGTGACTAAATCATACATTTATGTTAAGTTCACTAAGTCATTCTTCATTAAAATACGATGCAAAAGCACGTTTGAGGAAAATATTAAAAACTGAAAGTTTTAACTGCCATGGGTCTCCAATTAAACATTAGGTAGGGTTGCCCCATGAGTTCAAAATATTTCAATACTATCCAATTTTGAATTGAACACATAAAACAAAAAAGAGCATTTTATGTACATACTATTTTTTGCTCTCTGGGAGCAGAATTAGAACTCAATGATCCTAATTTCAAGACTACAAATTAAATTTAATTCTGATGTAGAATTAAGACATGACAGGGAAAAATTCCAGCCTAAAACATTAAATATCCCATCATAGCTCCAAATAATCTTTTTTTCTCATAATGAGAGTGCAAAGATACAACCGCTAAAGTGCTTTAGTTGTTTCTCTAGAGCAGGGCTTTTAAAACCTTTTCTACTTGTGACCCCTTTCTGCCTGGAAAATTTTCACACGACCCCAGCTATATAGGTATATCAAATAGGTATAAAATCAATCATGTATTGAAAATAAATCTGCATGTGCAAGTCTTGCTAAACAAGTTGATTTTCATGAAGTTCAGCTGAAGCATCTTCTGAAGAATAAATTGTAAATGCTGTGCATGTTGTTGCTGAAAGAGCAATCAGAAATCTTTTACTGTTGTCAAATTTTTCGTAATCCCACCATTGACCTCGGGGGATCCGATTTGGAGGCCGGACTCACAGTCCTGGTCCTAAATGGGATAGCCTTAGCTCAAATGCTCTAGAGCAGTGTTTCTCAAAACTCTGCTCTTCAACTGTTTTGGGCTTCATCTCTCAGAAATCCCTGCCAATTTACCAGCTATTAGGAATTGTGGGGGATGAAGTACAAAACATCTGGAGGAGCAGAGTTTGAGAAACAGTGCTCTCAAGGACAGAAAGATTCACACACAGAGCTTGACTATCTCACCCTTGCTCCTCACAATGGTGGATGGAACACAAACTCCAGAAAGTGAGTTACTTCCCTGTAAAGCTGGAGCTACAGAGGGGAGGATTAATTTGGTTTTTCCCCCAAATTAATCCTCCCCATAACCAGCTCTAAATGAGAACAAGATGATTGAGGGGGCCCTGCCTATACTTGATGTATATTGCCCATTTCTGGAATTAGTGCCTACAACTTCATCTTGGCTTTCAAGGATACAGCTCAAGGTCAGAGACAACAGTGTATGTTTGGCATGTCCTGGTTACCAAAGTTAACCCAAGTTTGTTGAACTTCATATATAAACATATAAAGAATTATAGAAAACAGCACACTAAAACTTCTCCCCTTCCCTATATGTGCTCTGCCTTCTGGATATTTTGTAGAAAAACTGACACATCCAGTGCACTCAATGTTGGACCACAGTTATACTATGCCAATATGGTTATGCAATATAATGGAGCACTCTGGCCACCATCTCATATATTTCCTTCTTGTTAAGAGGAAATTATTGAAGACACTGAACTGAAAGTAAGCAAGAAAGCTGCAACATGTGGTCTGAGAGAGCATCCTGTAACACATCTTTCTGAGAAATCAGGGGATTTTGCAAATAGCACTGAAGTTATTACATAAAATATTTCATAATATCAAAGTAGTTTCATATGTTTGAGTGCATGTGTCTTCAAATTGCCTTTCAGGGCAAGGAATCCTTAGAGGTGGTTTGCTATTTTCTTCCTCTGAAATATAGCATCTGGTTTTTGCTGGTGATCTCCCATCCAAGCACTAGCCAGGGTGAACCTTCTTAGCTTTCAAGAATAGATGGGATCGGATCCCTTACACCTAGTAATATAGATCCCTAAGTTATAACTTTAAGCTCTTGCTAAAACAATCTATATTTTAAGCACATCCTGACACACCCAAAAATCTGTACAGCATGTTTCCTTGAAATGGTCTAAACAAAGAGGCCAGGAATTTAAACAATTTCATTACAGGCTATAACATATGGTAGTAGAGGCTGTATCAATTCTCCTTCCGTTAGTTATTTTAACATTATACTAGATTTATTTTCCTAGGATGGTTAATTCACCATAGAGAATAGTAAGATAAGTAAACCTTCTCAAGACTGGATAAAGATTAACATAATTGACAAAAACATTTCTGAATAGAAACATGTGAAAGAATAATACACTAGATGGAAAACACAGTACTGTATCATTCATTATCCATGTTTATTTCAGCACTCAACTGATCGTACAGTTGAACATATTTATACCAAAGCCACCCATGTCTGCAAGCAATTATGCCATTATGCAACACAAGAAGACTTCAAGTTAAACACAAGGTAAATGCTATAACATCAAGTGCACCAGATCTTATTATGCGTTCCTTTTCAACCACCACCTTATTGCCATTTTTACTCCAGATTGAAAAGAGTGCAGTGGTATTTCTCATCTAAAAAGGAATCCAATATGATAATATAATATACTTCTCTTTTACAGTAAAAGAAATGCCTTCTGTCAAGTTAAACTACTGGAACTTCCAGCTTAATACCATAAACTTCATGTGTGGCACAGATATACAAGAGTTAGCTTGGATACTCCTGAATCCTCACTTTTGAACCAAAATATAATGTTATGGGCTAAATTGACAAAATAACATCTTGGTCAAGACAGGAAAGGAAAGAAGCCAAAACTTCCCATGGAGCAGATGAGACACACGCTCCTAATACCAGGCCATCATCAAGTGGTTTCTTTGAACCACAAATCATATTGACTTTAAGTGTGATGAGCAGGGTAGTCTCCTGAGATCTATAACCTACTGGTGAAGCAGATTGAACCTGAGTATATCTACATGTGAAGTGTGATGTTTACCAACTATTTATGACCATCTGTAACAACGTCCTATACTGAAAGATTATTGCAGCCATCCCAGGGCCCTTCCACACAGCCCTATATCCCTGAACATTTAGGCAGAAAATCCCATAATCTCTGCTTTGAATTGGGTTATCTGAGTCCACACGCATAAAATGTGGGATTTTCCACCTTGATATCCTGGGATATAGGGCTGTGTGAAAGGGCCCTCAGTCATCTCTTCAAGGACGAACAAATGCCTTTGAGAGCAACAGTTTTGTTGGAAATGCTACCACCATGACTGACAATATAGCAGCTGTTTTGGGCCAAGCAATATAAAGCTGTAATAGATTATGGGAGTTATAATCTAGAACATATGATTCCCTATCCCTTAAATAAAGATCATTATATGTATTAGGATATTACTAAAACAGCTTCTACAAGTCTAAACATATTGTACAAACCAAGGGTACAAACATCTCAGATACTCAACTGCCCAGATTCTTTGGAGGAGGGAGGAAAAAACATTTAACAATAATTTACAGATTTTAAACAAGCTTAGGCTGGCCTATACTCTAGAAACCTCTCGCAGACTTCAAAAACAAAACAAAAAAAACACCTTAAAACTAATGCCTACAGGATCTAAAATACATCTCTTTCAATCCCAGAAGTTGCAAGAATGGTTTGATAAAGAGAGAAAAAACGTAAGCAGGAGGAAATGGACAATGAAAAGAAATTGTTCTATAACAATCAGGAAAGCTGAACCAAAGCCAGGAAATGTGAAGTATTTAAGCAGAAACACAGAATCAAAGGTTGATACTTAAACCAATTTCCTGTCTCAAATCGATTTTGACACAACCACTCCCAAACACACCTCTCTCCTAAAAGCATTGGGGCTTTTGATCAGAAATTTGGGACTCCAAAAGAGCCCTGAATTTTTTGTCCAAAGTGTATGTATGTTGGGAGCAAGATGTCAATAGTACCAAAACTTTCCTTCAGTGCAATTCAATAAAAAGATAGCATGTCTTGATTACTTGGCAACTGTAAAAGGACTGACAATCATGTAGACCTCCAGAGGTTACAAAACTGAAACATTCGAAGGCCAGCCAAAGTAGCTAATAATGAGGAATGCTGGGAATTGCAGTTCAACAACATCTGGCAATTTGCCGGATTCTCCTTTTTCTTCAACAATAGCAAGGTGTTAAAAGAACATATCTGTGTTTCAACAGATTACACACCAGAACTCATGTATTTTTATGTGTCAGCTTTACACTGTTTTTTAGTTTTAGTAGTTTAATTCTATTTTAATATCAATCTTTTGTATGTTTTAGTTATT